CCCCCACTGTTAGATCCCCCCCCCCACTGTTAGACCCCCCCCCCACTGTTAGACCCCCCCCACTGTTAGACCCCCCCCACTGTTAGACCCCCCCCCACTGTTAGACCCCCCCCCACTGTTAGACCCCCCCACTGTTAGAACCCCCCCCCCACTGTTAGACCCCCCCCCACTGTTAGATCCCCCCCCACTGTTAGACCCCCCCCCACACTGTTAGACCCCCCCCACTGTTAGACCCCCCCCCCACTGTTAGATCCCCCCCCCCACTGTTAGACCCCCCCCCCCACTGTTAGACCCCCCCCCACTGTTAGAACCCCCCCCCCACTGTTAGATCCCCCCCCCCACTGTTAGACCCCCCCCCCACTGTTAGACCCCCCCCCACTGTTAGACCCCCCCCCCCACTGTTAGACCCCCCCCACTGTTAGACCCCCCCCCCACTGTTAGACCCCCCCCACTGTTAGACCCCCCCCCACTGTTAGATCCCCCCCCCCACTGTTAGACCCCCCCCCACTGTTAGACCCCCCCCCACTGTTAGACCCCCCCACTGTTAGAACCCCCCCCACTGTTAGATCCCCCCCCCCCACTGTTAGACCCCCCCCACTGTTAGACCCCCCCCACTGTTAGACCCCCCCCCACTGTTAGATCCCCCCCCCCACTGTTAGACCCCCCCCACACTGTTAGACCCCCCCCACTGTTAGACCCCCCCCCACTGTTAGATCTCCCCCCCCACTGTTAGACCCCCCCCCCCACACTGTTAGACCCCCCCCACTGTTAGACCCCCCCCCCACTGTTAGATCCCCCCCCCCACTGTTAGACCCCCCCCCCACACTGTTAGACCCCCCCCACTGTTAGACCCCCCCCCACTGTTAGATCCCCCCCCCACTGTTAGACCCCCCCCACACTGTTAGACCCCCTCCCACTGTTAGACCCCCCCCCGACTGTTAGACCCCCCCCACTGTTAGATCCCCCCCCCCCCACTGTTAGACCCCCCCCACTGTTAGACCCCCCCCACTGTTAGACCCCCCCCCACTGTTAGATCCCCCCCCCCCCACTGTTAGACCCCCCCCCCCACTGTTAGACCCCCCCCCCACTGTTAGATCCCCCCCCCCCCACTGTTAGACCCCCACCCCCACTGTTAGATCCCCCCCCCCCACTGTTAGACCCCCCCCCCCACTGTTAGACCCCCCCCCCACTGTTAGATCCCCCCCCCCCACTGTTAGACCCCCACCCCCACTGTTAGATCCCCCCCCCCCCCACTGTTAGATCCCCCCCCCCACTGTTAGATCCCCCCCTCCCACTGTTAGACCCCCCCCCCCACTGTTAGATCCCCCCCCCCACTGTTAGACCCCCACCCCCCCCCCCCCACTGTTAGACCCCCCCCCCCCCACTGTTAGACCCCCCCCACTGTTAGAACCCCCCCCCCCCCACTGTTAGATCCCCACCCCCACTGTTAGACCCCCCCCCCACTGTTAGACCCCCCCCCACTGTTAGATCCCCCCCCCCCCACTGTTAGACCCCCACCCCCCCCCCCCCCCCCACTGTTAGACCCCCCCCCCCACTGTTAGAACCCCCCCCCACTGTTAGACCCCCCCCCACTGTTAGATCCCCCCCCCATTGTTAGACCCCCCCCCCACTGTTAGACCCCCCCCACTGTTAGACCCCCCCCCCCACTGTTAGACCCCCCCCCCCACTGTTAGACCCCCCCCCCACTGTTACATCCCCCCCCACCCCCCACTGTTAGATCCCACCCCCCACTGTTAGACCCCCACCCCCCACTGTTAGATCCCCCCCCCTACTGTTAGACCCCCCCCCCACTGTTAGACCCCCCCCACTGTTAGATCCCCCCACCCTCACTGTTAGACCCCCCCCATTTTAATCCACCCCCCCCCCCCCCACTGTTATTTCCCAATCTTTGTCCACCCAGCTGCATGAATGGAAACACCGCTGCCTATCGGCAGGTCACGTGCAGTGGCGTGATGTGTGGATTATTATCACTCGCAGCACATTGAACTGAAACTCGCACACGCAGCAACCTCGTGGTTAAAACCCAGGGGAAAATTCCTCATTACAAGGCAGCTAAGTCGAAAAGAAGTCAGCAAGCAAAGCTCTCTTTCAACCACAAAAAATACTTGTTGCAGACATTCAACATTTATTTTAGGCGTTCATAAGTCAATGGAGATATGATTTTTTTTGGTTTTGCAAAATGCAATAAATTATTATAAACAATTTTTATATTCCAAAGTCTTGTCTGAGGTGGGATGTAATTCACCACTCATAGGGCTTTGACATGGATCGGAAATATGAACGATAGGAAATCAAATGGGTTAACATCTTAATAACAACGTGAGCAAAGACACGTGGAGAGATCCATGCGGGGAATTCCAACGAGAGACAGAAGGAGGAACACACGGATCAGGTAACAAACACGAATCACAGACAACATATTGACTGCTAACGTTGCTAAAAAAAATGGACAATGACCACTGGACGAGGCTGGTGACTGAATGGCAGCCAAAGGAGGGATTGTGGCTGAGAGGATAACCACCGTGGAGATGGAGTGACGAGGTATGGAGTGACGAAATGAGCTCATGTGTAGGAGTGAGTTGAATCGTGGCATCTTAGGACCGTGAGGAATGGTGACTGCGTGGGGAGGCCTTCATCCAGCAGTGGATAAATTATGGCTCGTGTGGCGATGATGATGACAGCAGCACAATATAGTGTGAGGCGGCAGCCCTGGGCCAGAGATGGTATATTCCACATTGCTTTAACAGGGACCACGTTCATCATTGCGCCGCAGTGGCGAAATGTTAACTACCTCGCCTGGTATACAGGAGGTCGTGGGTTTAATCACAACCCTGAAGTCTGCTGTATATTTGGAGTTTGCATGTCTCTCTCCCCGTGTGTCGCGTTGAATTTTTCTCCGAATTCTCCGGTACGTCCCTCCAACATATAGAAACACGCGTTTAGAATATTTGGCCGCTATACATTTCCACGTGATAAGCCGCTTCGTTGAGCTGTCATTTATGGCCAGTTCGCTTCTGAAAAACAACTGTACGGTTCAGTGGGCCCTATCTGCTAATATCAACAATAGTTTACAATACGTCGTTTGTTTTATTGCGTGGCGACTGCACACTCATGTCAAAGTCACGTAACCAACAGGATGGCGCTCATCCCCCCCCCCCCCCCCCCCCCCGGGCAGCCCTGAACTTGTGTTGTAAATCCCACATTACAATGGTGGGAACAGTCTGTCCACATGGCGTGTTCATCCAGCAGTGGATTGACAAGAGGCTAAACAATGCACACATCCATGAAAAAAGACCTACGCAATAATACCTTTAGTGTAGGCTCAGCGACAAACAGATGAGTGCCACTCTCATTTGTAGTTTAAGCGGGGCTACAGTTTGACTTTGACCAATAGCCACCACCACTTCATCTTACAGTACAAGTACATGGTCGACTGCTGGGATGAGGTCACTGATAGCCTCGCCACTGCCTCATTTGTTGTACAAGGTAATGGTGCAGCCCTTCAATAGCTCTTGCTCATGCCACTGTTGGCGGAAGGGCCTCCACTGGAGGGAGTTCTAGAGAGGGTATTTTGGCCTACTCTTTCACGCTGGCCAGACTTTACCGCCCACCACACAACATCCGCCGGTCGACTAACTGTGTGGACGGAAGTTGGGGATATTTAACTGCCGCGTGGCGAGACAGAAGCCAGAAAATCCACTGGTGCTGACCATTATAACATCACGGAAACTTTGTGTTGCACCGCACAGAAAGGGTTTACAACGGAAGTAACGACAAAACAACGAACACCTGAAAACGTCCACGTTTTTATTTGCTGTGCTTTTAGTGCAAATAATGGCCATCACCAGACTACTTCTTCGTCTTTATCTGACTCATTTCAGTCCATGGGTCGTAGACCAAATATATGAATTGTTGCTATATCCTGACATGGCCAAAAACTTGAATTCGACCAAGAGCTATAAAACTACAAAGATATTTAATGAGAAAAAACACTTTTTTATGTTTAATAGAAATCACATAATAAACTTTTATAATCCAGATGTTGCCACCTCTTGTGCTAACTAATTCTACTCTGGCCCATGGACTACGATAGTTAATCCTGATTGTTTTCTCTGTTCTCTAAATCACCGCTGGAGATCACTCAGATTAGAATTTGCGTGAGCATCGGTCAATCAAGGACGTGTAACCACGGTTCTTTGTTGTAGCTGTGAAAAGAGGAACTTCATAGCTCATCGGATTTCTCCAGGATACATACAAGATAGATTCTGGATCTTTGCATTGTCGTTGAAAGGACAGTACTGTATCTCCTGTATAGAAAAACTACACTATAACATATTTTTGGTTCTTTCGGTAAAGTCACGTAGAAGGGAAATAATAAAATTATATAAATATAAAAAATACAAATTCTCACGACGCTTCGACTGCAACACAAGCAATCATTATCAGGTGTGAAATCCACAGCAAGAAAATTCCACAGCAAGAAAATTTGCTGTGGATTTCACACCTGATGATTGCTTGTGTTGCAGTCGAAACGTCGTGAGAATTTTTATTGTTTTATATTTATATTATTTTATTATTTCCCTTCTACGTGACTTTACCGAAAGAACCAAGAATATGAATCCCTGCAGTCACGAAAGCTTTAAATCAAAATTTACACTAACACATAAAAGTATTCCGAATAATCACATGTTCCAAATTGACCATATCAGTACAACGTGTGTATCGTGACAGCACACGCGTGTGTAGCAGAAGGAATGCGTGCGGGTGAAAGTGTCACTTTCAATGCTGCATCTGTGTGTGTGTGTGGGCCCTGTGGATGCACAAATGCGGCCGGGCATGGTGCAGACCACCCACCCAAGTACTCTAACAGCACTTGCCCCAACAGTCTGTTGAGGTCTACACGGGCGATCTTTGTCTCCTTGTCCTCGTCAAGATCTTGCGATGTTTTGTCACCGGTAAGTCACTCGGTGTGGGGGTGGCTGACGGTGGCGGTGGTGAGACGACCAATGCCGGTTCGGGGCGGGGAGCTTCGCCGGCATCCCCCGCCTCTATAAAGGAGGAAGCGGCTCGCTCGCCTCGCATCAGCAGCGCCGCCTCTCTCCCTGCCGGCCACCACCACCACCACCGCAGGTAAAAGTTGCAGTGGGGTGGGGGGGTGAGGTGAGAGAGAAACAGAGAGAGAGACGGCACCAGGTCGTTAATAGAGGGCCTCGGGTGACCGAACCTGCCCGGCGAGTTCGACTCCCGGCTACGGCGGAGCTGCGTGGTGCCGAGGTCGTGAAGTTGACGTCCTCCAGGCTGGTGTCAGCCTCTCTCCGGCACGGGCGATCCTCTTGCTCCGGCGGTCTTCACGAAATTGTCAGAGGTGGAGGAGGTGGAGGGGGGTCGGGGGGTCACGTTCGCCGATAAGACATCGTCAGTGTTGGGGGCCGCCCACGCGTTTGAAACCATTGCTGGGTTTGACAGCAGCACGATAATGATGATGGTGATGGGGGGCGAATTCAATCTGCGTGGATTGTGTGGGGCCGCACTAAAGTGCCACGAGGGCCCACCCGTGACCCGTGGGGTCTTGCAATGAACAACCCTGTTCGCTCGCTGTCTCTCTCTTTTTTTACGATCAGTGGAAACAAGAAGATGCTCGGTGTATTCGGCACTTTGTTTCGTTCATCATTTCGTAATTTAAAAAAAATTAAATTTACATTTTTAAAGTTTGCTTTATGTAAACCCCCACCTCTCGCTCACTCTCTCGCTCGTTTCTCTCTGCGCTCGATGCTGCCGTGGTTGCAACAGTTTGCTGGACCTGGACGATCCAGCAGAGGTCAAAAGGTTCGATCTGCCGGCGCGGTAGTGGAAACAATGGGCAGGTGAAGTCTGTCCACCCAGCCGTGTATAATACTGGTAGGAACCACCTGGTTCCATCAGCCCACAGGGGATTATTGTGTCCGTCCGTCCGTCGTGCAGGGAGGGGCTGGTGGGGAGGGAGCGGCTGGGTGGGGAGGGGAGGGGTTGGGCTGGGTGGGGAGGGGCTGGTCACCTCGTGGTGCCCTTATAAAACTCAACGTTTAACCTACTCACGCCGGCTTGTGCCCGCCCTCACAGTCGGCCATATTTGCGGAATATACCACGCCGCCGTTGACCCTGGCCATTGACCGAGCAACCCAACGTTCCTACCAGCTCCCTCCGCAGGAGGAATGTGTTAAACATGGTAGCGCGGTTGGCTACGTACGGTGCAAAAGAAGCTCAGCATAATACACCGCGGTTGATTGGCACGTGAGGTGGGGTAAAGTGTGACCAACCTGTGTATGGGTGTGACCACACACAAATATGGTTGAGTACATAGAGTACATTGCAAACAACAGTGCTCTCGGATCCACTATAAAATGTAAGGTCCACAAAATAAGTACACTTCGTCTTAGACTGAGTCAATTTTTTGCAAGTATTTTGAAAAAGTATCAAAGAATATTCCTTGTAAAAAAATCATTGTGAAATTAAAGAGTAAAAATTTAAAAATAAACTCCTTAAGAAATATTTTTTTAAACCAACGGTTTTATTTTAAAGTGCACTCAAAAGTAAAAAAAATAACTTATTTTCAGCCGTCACCAGCTGATAAGATTATTTTTGGACATTTGTAACTAAAAATAAAAACCGTGGGGCGCTCCTTTAATATCACTATTATCTTGATCGATGACCAAGAATGGCTAAATAAAGTTAACAACAAATGGTACTCAATAGCATAACAAAATACTATAACATTTCTAATAATATAGCGGGGATATCTCTATTTGTTATTACTAATCTCATGATGGTGCAGTGGTACCTCGGTGTACGTCGTTAATTCGTTCCAGAAGGTAGGACTTTTCCCGAAAATGACGTAGACACCAAACGAATTTTTCCCATAAGAAATAAAGGGAAAGAAAATAATCCGTTCCAGAGTATAAGAAATTATATTTTACATGGCATATTATACATTAATGGGGCTGTATCAAATAATTTAGACACTACTTATTATTAAAATGCATACATAAATTAAAATAAATGCATAAATAAATGAAAATAAATTGAAATAAAAATAAAATTTAATGTCACTTTACTTTGCTGAGAGAAGTTGATAGCCTACGAGGATGGTGGTGAGGAAGGGGAGGAGGAGGAGATGCTATTTTTTGGAAGGAGAGTCCCCTTCCATTAAAACTTCACGAAGCTGAAATTCTGGGGGGTTTTCTCTCTCTCTTTTCTGTCTTTTTTTCTTGACTTGGACCTGGTTAAGGCTCACCAGGTTTGAGTTTTACTATAAACCTGTCCATTGAAGTTTGTTTTTGCCTTCTTCTAAGAATGTTCCTGAAATGTGACATTGTCTGGTCATTCCACACATTACTGTTATGGCTTGTTATAGCTTTATTGGGGGTGGGGTATACGCGGGTACTGTACGCGGTGACTCATCCCGACCCATACAAGTTCAAGCAAGCGCGTCGTATCCCAAGACATTTTTTTCTTGTCAAAACACGACGTATACCAAATTCGACGTATTCCAAAGCGGTTGTATACCGAGGTATGACTGTACTTAGTTGGTTGAGATGGCTTGATGTGTTTTTAGCACGTTTGCAATCATCAAAACTATTTCGTGCTAAAATTCTAGTATTTAGGTTGTGAAGAGTTGGAACAAAGTGTAATATGAAATGGCTTGTGGCGTTACTTTTGTAAACTAAAGTCTCACAATAGGAAGGGAGTGGTATCTGATTTCACAATAAAAAAGGTAAGGTCCTAGGCAATGTAGAATATACGTGATATGGAATATCACATATCAATAATAAAAAGCCTAGTATTACATTATAATATAAAGTTCACCATTGATCTGCAAATCTTGACGAGCAATTTTTACTTGTCAAAAGTGAACTTAACATAAGTCATAAGTATTTGAAGCAATTGAAACACACATGTCGACTTGATTATGATAGGAACATTTAACAATGCATAGAGAATAGCTAAAATAATTACAATTACAAAGACTTGAAAAATACCTTCAAAATAATTTGAAACAAATCTACGACGCTTTAATATATTTTTGGATAACCAAAGATTAGATTGTATAATCTATATATATATAGTAATTACATGTACATGTCATGTATTTACTTGTCTTACCTTCGACTAATATACTCTCACCAAGAATAGAAGTTGCCATAGGAAGGTGAGAAAAGAACAATGGGTTTAGGTATACTTTTGACCACTTTGCAGTCAACTGTTCTTAAAAAAGCAGTTCAACACGGATACGAGTAGAAAGAGCTAGTAATAGTATAATTAGTAATTATACTCAAAACACTTGTAAATATTCTACACTTCATGGCAAACTTAAATGACATAATTATCAACATTTTCCCTTCTACTACTAATGATTTAAAATAATTTTTACAGACATTATATCACACAAATAAACTTTCATCAAACACATTTTTTTAAGCAACTCATTATGCATAACAATATTGAAGGAGCGCCTCACGGTTTTATTTTTTTAGTTACAAATGTCCAAAAATATTCTGATCAGCTGGTGACGGCTGAAAATATTTTCTTGCTGTGGTTGTCCCACCTGATGACGATTGCTTGTGTGCGATGGAAACGTCGTGATCTATTATTTTTCTACCTACGTGACTTTACCCAAAGAACCAAAGAGTATGGATTCCTGCAGTCAGGAAAGCTTCAAATCAAGATTGAACATCAAATACAGAATACATCAGACACATTCATAATACAAACATTCACAACAAACATTCATAACATAATACGACAGACACATAACACACACGTGTAGTGACTGACTCAAAGACACTAAGAGTAGGAGGCACTCTGTTTATTAACACGGCCTAACATTTAACACTTAGTGACTATGGTTCCCAGTCAGGACCGCTGGCAGACCACCTGACTGACGATGCCGAGATGGTGAAGACAGAGACGATGGTGTAGACTCCAGCAGCATGACGGGGATCCCCCCACTCCACACGACAGCCCCGAGCTCCCCTCTCGGGGCCCCTATTTTACTGTCAGCGTGGCCTGGCTCTGCCCCCGGCCATGCCCCCTTCTGGAATCTACTAGCGGGTTCTCGATGTGACCCTTCCGTAACCTTTCCCCCAGATCCTCTCTGGTCTATCACGTGACCTGCTGTCAGTCAGGGCTGCTGTAAGCTGCAGATCCCTTTCCCTGCCAGCAACCAGCGCTATGCTGCTACGTGACCGATTCTATGTCACTACACACCTACTACTGGGTAGAGACATGTACACTGCTACACAGGGACAAACACAGCAACGGTAGCCTCTATCTGTTCCGCCACGCCTTACTCATTCACGATTACAGAACGGCGCTGCAATCTCGCTGATAAGTGGGTGGTATAATGCTGGTGGCACAGTCGATCGATAGCGCCCTGCACTTTGAACCTGGCAGCATCAGTTGGTTTCCCAGCCTCGGCTAAGATCAGGAATCACCGGCGTGTGAAAACTGAACAGGTCCTGGCAGGGAATCGGCATCTGTGTTCGGGTGGGCCTGAATTCAATTTGTACCGAGGTGTCGTACAGGTATTGTTGTGTTGAACTTTATTAGATTGCATCGAGATCTCGTACTGTACAGGTAACATGTTAAACTTTATTTCCAGTGGTGTGTTGGTAGACCGAATGCTGACTGGCAGAAAGCGTGTGGGTTTGGTTTGTGGGGAAAGCAGCAGCCCTAGGCCATGCTGACTCCCCCCTTCATCCTGCACTGACCACGTGTGGTGAAGTATGGTCAAACAACCCGCCCGGCAGACGCGGTGAGCGTGAAGAGGTCTCCATCCAGCAGTGGATTGACGAAAGTGTTGTGATTTCACACAGATGCTGGTGGACAGCACAACAATGGCTTGTGTGATGCAGTCAGACTAAACCCAGGGCACTTGTTGAAGGTGGACTGGGATTGAATTAATGAAATAACCGGGGTAATTTTGGGAGAAAAAAGCTGAATGTGACCATGACCAACTTAACAATGTGTCTGAAAAGTTAACATTTTCAATAGTTGCACATTATTACCCACGATGCCATGCAGACCAGAAACATGGACGCCAACAGAGAGGAACAACTTTAAATGTGCACAAGGAAGCATGGGGGGAGAGGCGAGGGTACGCGTCATGGATGAGACTGACTACCCTGACCTGGTGAAGGAAATTCCACATTCCCATGGTTGGGACAGGTCATTCCATAGGATGGACATTTTTAGTCGCTGAGGTCGTGGAAAGTTTATTTTGTCATTCTGGTTGTTCTGTGCATTCTGTAACGTCCCCGTTCCGCCTTAATGTGAACCGATGCCTGCTTTATTGAGGGGCGATATTGGCAAGTAAAATTAATATTGGTTGATTTGAGAAACACCAATTGCGCAAAGAGAAAACACATGGGTCGGGAGCAAAAGGAGAGTTAGAGACGTCGCTTTGATTGTTTATCTTTGTCTTCATTCAAGATCTTTTGTTGAAGTGCGTGTGGTGACAAAGGCTGTTCGTACACCATTTGTGTGAGGCACTTTGAGGCCCATAAGGAAGCTGGTATCATATAAAAAGTGCCGTACACAAATCAACAAACTTGGTTTCCATTGTACATGACTATTGTTGTCCTGAGGCATTATTTTTTTGCTCGGAAGAAAATTAAAGCGAGAAAAGTGTGGTCGGAGAGATGAACGTGAACACCGCAACAGCAAAAAAACATTTGGCCTTTCAGAATAGTTTCGCAATAGGATAGTATAAGCAATTTGGAAGATTTGAATAGAACATTGCCGGAAGGTGTTATAAATGTAAGCAGGAAGTGTTGTTTAGCGACTTTTGCACCCTATCCAGTCTTAGCCTCGTCGACAGAGAGACATCACGATCCCAACTGCGAGTAGAGTGGTCTAAATACAGAGCCACGCAGCCACATCACGACCCACGAGAACGCTGCGATTGACGTCCTTCACCGCTCTCTGTTGCCGTCTCCTGCCTTGCAGCCAGTTCTGACTCTGAGACGGGAAGACGACGAAGATGAAGCTGCTGCTCGTCGCTCTGCTGGGGCTCGTGGCGGTGGTCTCCGCGGCCGTGGCCTCTCCTTTCCTCGACCCGGAGCTGTCGCCCGAGTGGGAGTCCTGGAAGGAGTTCCACGGCAAGACCTACGGCGAGGTCGGTCGCGACCACAACGCACGGCGCCGCCCGTAGAGCGGCTCATTGTTTAGAGACGTCCACATTGTAGATTGTTGTAGAGTGGCTCCTTGTTCAGAGATGCCCACGGAGATGAGCACGGCCCCAGCGCATCGTTTGAGTGAGGAGATACAGCAGCGTTGCTACGAGTTTTACCCTGAGCCGTAGTCTGGGAATTGGCATTTGAATAGATTTTTACCGAGATCTGGTGATGTTGCTTTGAACGGTATTACAGTATCAAACTTCGTGTTCTCAAGAGACCAAGACAGTCGCATTTTCAAGAGTGACTTAGGGGCATTAGCCTGCTAGGAGGGGGCGATTATTGCTTTGTATAATCTTTATTGAGTCATTTGCAGTGCAACTTTATAACTTGGCAAACTTGGACCCTGACGCCGGTACACATTGGCCTACTCTTGCAAATGAAGCTGCTAGATTCAAACTGTGCACCTATGCCAAACTGTGAAGCAGAAACTGGGCTACTGCGAGGCAATGTCACTTCCCCATACTGCACAGGATACCGCGCATATTCGATATACTGATAAATATGTCCGGGTTTGATCCGCACCTCCGATCAACATGGTTGGCTACGCACGGTGCGAAACATACGTACATACATCTGCGGCAAACCTAAGATACGGTTTACACTTAATCCCAAATTCATCAGCACCCTTCCTACTCAGGGTGATGTGCAGCTCACGATGGAAACTTGTGGATAAGCGGGGTCTCTCTTGCATACCTGTCAACCCCTTATCATTGCCTATCATATTACAGACCAAATTCAGACCTTATTGATCACCCCGTGCCCTTATAAATTCTCAACGTTTATCCTACAAAGTCCCATCACAAGGGAGAAACACAAACAAATGAACAAAACATTTTTTTGCCTGCATTGAAATGACTGCACGCCGTATGGACCTGAACTCAAATTCCCTGCACAAGAATACGGGGTAAACCGTATGGGTTGACTGCTATGCTCTTTAGTGATTCACAGACACGAGTCCGCACTATATTACATCATGTGTATAACAAGCAGTGACCGAGTGTCTACAGAGACCACGCTCATTCGCATTTGATCCCGACACAGGAAGCCAATTTCTGGTTTCCAGACGGGTTGGCAGGCTTCATCTCTGAAATAACAAAATCAATATATGTTACAAAAAAATATATACCGGATTTTGCAATGTAGGCACACAGATTACCTAACTCGTTTGTCCCTTGTTTAATGGAACTCCAAGGACCTTATCGGGTGTGGTGATGAAGCGTATCGCTTGCTGTACTTCAACATAAACATACAGAGCACGATGATGTCGAGATTATGTCAAACGTAAGGAAATCTTCCTTGGTGGAACACATTCCAGCCAAACCAGTTTCGTTGCAGTGGCAGCTTGTACAATTATTGATTTATAGTGAACTTTACATAACAGTTCAAGTAGACAAATGAACACACAGGCCAAGTGAGTACAGTGTTCGTGAAGGTACTATTTGTTCTTAGCGTTGTGCCCTTAAACAGGTTGGTGTAGATGATGGGTTTTAGCATGTGCTGGGAGTTGCCACTTGTGTCTTTGTTTTCTAGGATAATCTTGTTGAGATAGCCGTCCTGAAAAATCCATGCGCCTTCCCGGGATATGGCTTTTGTCAGTCGCTTAACAATAATAAGAATCCTCCACTTCTACTCGTGTGTTGTCTGGGTTCATCTTCTTGGTTCTTTCGGTAAAGTCACGTAGAAGGGAAGTAATAAAATAATAAAAATAAAACATATTATGTTTTAATAATACGTGACTTTACCGAAAGAACCAAGAAGATGAATCCCTGCAGTCACGAAAGCTTTAAATCGAAATTTGTTGTCTGGGTTGTTTGCGCCTCAAGAGGTGGCAACTCTCGCAGGCACTGCAGCTGTGCGTGGGGCCCTGTTAACTCCGAAGCCACAGTAAGCCCCCCTTGCTGCTTGGGGTGGTGCCTCATCCACTCCTGGCCCTGAGGCAGCGGAGAGAAATTGCGCATTCTGTTGTTGGTGTTCAGTCTCGCCACAGTCTGTCCACCGTTAAATTGTCACGGAGCGGTGTCAATTTAATTGACTCTTGAGAGATGATGGGCTTAGCCAACCACCCCAACCCAGGTTTGACCTCTTGACATTTTGTAATGTGAGTCCAGTGGTATAACCACAGTGCCGTCCGATTTTTCATCATATCAACAATTGTGAGTAGCATTATCAGCCATGATCGACCCATTGCTGAACGAGGGCCTCGTCGACATTTTTCGTGGCCCTGCGATGCCACAAGTGTTCAGTCTCGCCACAGTCTGTCCACCGTTAAATTGTCACGGAGCGGTGTCAATTTCATTGACTCTTGAGAGATGATGGGCTGAGCCAACCACCCCAACCCAGGTTTGAACTCTTGACATTTTGTAATGTGAGTCCAGTGGTATAACCACAGTGCCGTCCGATTTTTCATCATATCAACAATTGTGAGTAGCATTATCAGCCATGATCGACCCATTGCTGAACGAGAGCCTCGTCGACATTTTTCGTGGCCCTGCGATGCCACAAGTGTTCAGTCTCGCCACAGTCTGTCCACCGTTAAATTGTCACGGAGCGGTGTCAATTTCATTGATTCTTGAGAGATGATGGGCTGAGCCAACCACCCAAACCCAGGTTTGAGCTCTTGACATTTTGTAATGCGAGTCCAGTGGTATAACCACAGTGCCGTCCGATTTTTCATCATATCAACAATCGTGAGTAGCATTATCAGCCATGATCGACCCATTGCTGAACGAGGGCCTCGTCGACATTTTTCGTGGCCCTGCGATGCCACAAGCCCTCTGGCTCCTGCACATAAACCGATGTCATCGCTTCATCTCCACGTTGTTCACCCTCTCAGACGCTTTCTTTTCTTTCCCTGCCATTTCGTCATCAGTCTTGTCCATCAGTCATCGTCCCAACTAGCGATGTGTCATATATGTTGAACTTCTTTTGCACCGTACGTGGTCAACCGCGCTTATCGGAGGTGCGCAAACCCGCTTACTTTCCTGCATGGTCGGTGTGATGTCTCGAATATTCATTCGATCTCCAATCCCGAACTCCGAGGCCACTTAATACCTGAACACGGTGCTGGTTGCTATTGCATTGCATCCCTTGACGCGTCGCTATGCCTGTTGTGCTGCAGAAGGAGGAGGGCTGGAGGAGGATGATTTGGGAGAAGAACCTCAAGAGGATCTCCGTGCACAACCTGGAGCACTCCATGGGCAAGCACACCTGGCGCATGGGCATGAACCAATTCAGTGATATGGTAAGCCAGGACATCGCATATCTCCTCTACGCTTCCCTCCCACGAGATTAAAAACTACCGCATAGGACATCGGATGTGGCTCTTACAAGGTCGTACAGATTGTGTCAAAGTCCTGTGGGGAGATGGTGAACCAGACGTTTCCTCCTTCCCTATGCCTTCTTCATTTCCATGAGCAGTTTAAATGTACGGGACAACGGATTTAGCTCATACAAGCTCGTGCAGATTTCATCACCTTGAGCAGATGGTGAGTCAGACGTCTGATTTTCTACACTCTGTTGAAAATCATGGGCAAGGGAAACACATTATGGCCATGGCAGACCACTCAGCTGCCACCACAGATATTCTGTGTTCAATTCCCGGCAGTCATATTTGTTCAAATCAGATTCCCAAGTGCAGTGAGTCATTGTGTCTCAGCCCAGCCACCAAAAAAACGTGAGAATTTTAGTTTTTTCACTGAATCTTACGAAGCCCAGCTCCGTTCCTGAGAGCTACAGTTTATAAACACGTCGGATGAAATACAGGCGGCAAGTTGAACTTGTAGACCAAGGTGTGTACTCAAGAGACCTGGATGAGTCACATTGGCGCGAGCGACTTTGGGGCAATTCGGCTGCCAGTAAGGGGTCGATGATCGCTGTGCAATTTGCGGCACCCTTCTCTGTAAGATGGTCCAAATAGATTCTGTTTCGTGACACGATGCCGATTGTGTGGAAACAAATTGTGGGGAAAAAGACCAAAATAATTAAGCAAGAAAGTAGATTTTTATCAAAATATAAAATATAATTTTTTTATATTTTGTTCATGCGTATTTTATCTTGCTTGTACCATCTGTCACATTTGTTTAGTCTTGTTTCAATAGCCTAAAGCTATAATAGCATACGATTTGCATCTAATTTGCAGTCCTGCTAAATAATTAAATCTTACGACAATTGTTGACTCGCTCACACACTATGATAAATTCATTGAGTGGAAAAACCAAATTAATCAGGAAATAAACGATTTGTTACACCGCTAATATTTATGTTAAACATTATTTAAAAAATAGATGAGCAAACAACTACCTATCGATCACATTGCCGAGACACAAATAGTCAAAGTGGTTGTTGATGATGTCATAGCAATGGAGCTGTGTTCTTCTCCTGTCACATACCTGCTGAGCCAGTGGTGGACACTCCACATTCCTGGCAAAACGAGATAAGTCCATCCTTTTGACATTCACTTTTGACTTTTCACAGTGTGACACTCTGTGTTGTGACATATCTCGGCTGTTTAGTTGAGGAATCGACTAACATACCTGGCCTCGCCTTGGGAATGTGGAACTTCCACAGCTGGCTCGGGGCAACAATTGGAGATATGAGCACTGGCCCATACTGAGACTCTGACCCTGACCCTGATCTGAGCGAGGTGGTGCTGCGGTTGTAGCGCTTGACTCGCAATCGGAAAGTCGTGGGTTCAAATGATGGCCACTTTGTCTGAAGTTGACATTGATTGCCCTATAGAGAAAGACAAATACAAATATCCCCCGTATAGCCTGAACAGACTGTAGGGGCAAGTGCTGTTAGCGAGCACCTAATGAAGGCCGGAACGGTACACGAGGGGGTGGGTGGCCAACACCACGCCCGACCGCCTTTGTCTTCCCAGCGGCGATGTTTACATTCTGCACCAGGTACTCATTCGACCTAGGGGAGGCCCAGGACCAGTTCAGATAATCGCCACTGGTGTTGGCCATTGAGTAGGAATCGAACCCGGGTCGCCGGGCTTATAGCTCGGCACGTTAACCGCTACGCCACCGCTAACACCAACAACAAAGAAGACCACCTCTGAATGCTCTCTGGAGTAGAGAGTTATGGGACTAGGTTGATGAGCTTTATAGGTGACTAAGTCGAGACTGTGTGGAAAGTGGTGGTGATGTTGTTAGCACACTGTCCACAGCTAACATCAGTGGTGAATAATATCCGGACCAGTCCTGCATCTATTCCACCCCCCAGCGCCCCCGCCATCCCATCACCTTAATCTTTTACTGACCAGCGTGGTGAAGTATGGTCAAACAACCGTCAGGACCCACATTGCATGGAGAGGCCTTCCCCCATTCGTGGACTGACAAAGGGCTGTAGTAACGTTGAAACCATGAAGCTGACGACACTCGATAACTCGGTTTTAACTACCGTCGTGGTAATCTATGTCCGCTCGCTGTGAACGCGCGTCTCGTTCAGACCGGGGAGGAGTTCCAGCAGGTGATGCTGGGCTTCAGGGGCTGGAACGGCACCAGCAAGGCCTCCAGCGGCGCCACGTTCTTGGCGCCCGCCTTCTTTGAGGCCCCCGAGTCCGTCGACTGGAGGAAGCAGGGCTACGTCACCGACGTCAAGAACCAGGTACCGCCCAGTCGAGGTCACGATCAGGCGTTCATCGTCAGGACCAGTGTCTTACGATCATTATTTCTTCCAGCGAAACATTACACAGTTAACATCCTACCCCCACAATTGCGTCAGGGTCATATTCCTACGACCCCTGGAGTTTAACCGAGCTCCACTCTGCGAACCAAGCTAAGTGGGGGTTTTGCCTCCCCAGTTTTGCAGACAACACTTGTCGATGTGAGAAATCTTTGCCTTTATCCGCTTCCTCTCCGCAGGGCGAATGTGGCTCTTGCTGGTCGTTCAGCACCACGGGCTCTCTCGAGGGGCAGCACAAGCGCAAGACTGGAGTGCTCGTTTCGCTGAGCGAGCAGAACCTGGTGGACTGCTCCTTGGCCGAGGGCAATCAGGGCTGCAATGGAGGACTCATGATCAACGCGTTCAACTACATCAAGAAGAACGGAGGCATCGACTCGGAGGAGTCGTACCCGTACAAGGGACAGGTGAGGGAGTTTGGGCCTTTGACCGTTGTCAGGGACAAATCTGTCGCTCTATTGTCTAGGAACCCAATCACTCATCTGGTCTCTATGTATGTTGAACTATTTTCGCACTTCTACATCACTCAACATCACTTCAACATCACTCATCTGGTCTCTATGTATGTTGAACTATTTTCGCACCGTACTTAGCCAATTGTGCCAATCGAAGGTGGATTGTTTAGGGAACCTCATCGGAGGCTGATCATTCAGTCGGAATATTTATGAGGATCTTTATTTCGACTGGAGGAATCCCATGAACTATGAATCTCTTTTTTTCAAAGATGTCCCCAGTAACCGTTACCCTCGCAAGCACCGTCACATGCTCGTCAGCACTTCAACATCATCAGCCATCAGATCAACAATCCACCTAACACCTGTGCAGTAGCTAATTTAATTCTTACATCTTTATGTTGCACATACTTCTTGACTGGCAAACCAATTCAACAATTCATGTTATTTGGTTCTTTCAGTAATGTCACGTAGATAGAAAAATAATAATATAAATAAAGTGAATAAAAATAATAAAAATTTAAACAACAAAAACACTAATAAAGACTGTAGCCTGGTTCTTAATCGGAGTGAGTGTACTGCAAGTCTATAAAGTAGACTGTAGCCTGGTTCTTAACCTCGGTGAGCCTACCAGTACACTCACTGAGGTTAAGAACCAGGCTACAGTCTACATTAGTGTTTTTTTGTTGTTTTTTATTTTATTTGTATTATTTGTATTCACTTTATTTCCTTTTTATTTTCTATCTACGTGAATTGACCGAAAGAACCAAAGAATACGAATTCCTGCTGTCACGAAAGTTTTAAGTCACAATTAAACAATTAATATGGCAATCCACAGTAATGACTCATAATTCACTACAAAAATCAACAATTAACTTTAAAGTTAGCAATTAAATTAATTAACAATTAAACCATTAATTGCCAATTCATGCATTCATACCTTAGTAATAAACTGACTAATTTAATCAACAATAAAGCATAAAGGCAGTTTCTGCACAGGCCTTGGAATGGCGGCTCGTGATTGGCTATGGGGCGTGAGTCAATCCCCCCTCCCCATGGCTGCATTCTGGGAGTGGGGTTTGGATCGACCAATGAGAGGCCGCGCCTCGGCGAGACCCTGCCCCTCAGTGGGTTGATATCTCATTACTCCCCTGGGGGAGCGATTATATATAATTGATTCTATAAAATTTATTTTATAAAACAGAAGCCATTTAAAAGGAAAAAACAACAACATAATTTTTTAAGTTTGCAAAACTTTTCAACAGTTTTTTTTACTTGTTTTTATTTATAATGAAACATTTTATGACGAGGATTTTCTTTGTTGGAGTGCAATCCCCCCCATACAGATGGGGCGTCTTTTATTCTATTGTCTCAAGACCCCATCAGAGACCGGTCTTGTCAGTTTGCCGTCTAAAGACTCTGTACGATACACCTCAAGGCTTACAATGGCAATGCTGACGGTTCTAGATTTTAAGCTTTCGTGACTGCAAGGATTCATATTCTTAGGTTTTTTCGGTAAAGTCACGTAGGTAAAAAATTAAAATTTAAATTATTGAAAGTAAAATAAAAGAAAAATCACGACGTTTCGGAGGCAACACAAGCTTCCGTCTTCAGGTGGAACCGTCACAGCACGATAGCTGTATCAAGTAAAAAAAAAGCAAGCGTGCTGTGACGGTTCCACCTGAAGACGGAAGCTTGTGTTGCCTCCGAAACGTCGTGATTTTTATTTTTATTTATTTTTACTTTCATTAATTTAAATTTTTTACCTACGTGACTTTACCGAAAAAACCTAAGAATAAGAAAACGCTGACGGTGTTTGTAATACGCGGTGTATGCGTCGCACAGGTCGAAACGTGCAAGTACGACCCCAAGAACAAGGCTGCGGAGGTCACCGGCTACGTGGAAATTCCCGAAGGGGACGAGGAGGCCCTCAAGAATGCCGTGGCCTCCGTTGGCCCGGTGTCGGTCGCCATCGACGCCAGCCTCGCGTCGTTCCAGTCCTACGGCTCAGGTGGGCGCTTCGTTGAGGCGTCGCTTATCACATTTCCCAGGTCGGGCTTTCGGTGGGCCAAAGTTTTACGTGAGAACCTGAGCCGTGCCTCAAAACGTGTGCCGAGCCAGGCCTAGTTGTTGCCCCCACGTTGGGAGGTAAGTCAGATTTTTCCTGGGTAAGTAAACGGCACTGCTGTGAACGTGACGGCCTAGGGAGGAGGCCTGTAAATCCGAAAGGAATTCCTGAAAGGTAGGTTATGAGTTTGGGATGTTTCAGTGGAAGAGGTTGGTAAGTCAGGTAGAGAGGCCTTGGTATGAATGGTTAATAGGCTTGGAGGTTTAAAGAGGTCAGGCAGCTCAGAGATTGTGAAACCTGTGATGTTGGTCAAGGGGATCCTTTATTTATTTATTAGTTTGGTTTTATGCCCGAGCAGCAAAGTCTAACTCAGTCTCAAGGGTTCTACTTTTATGATGTTTTTTTTTTCAAATGCCTTTACTGAATGTATATCTCCTCAGGGAAACCAGCCACCTCCTCCTCCCCATCACACCCTGAGAAAACCCATTTAGTGTGCAGTGAAAATCTCAACCAGTTTTGAGATCCCCTTCACCAACCTGTGCTGACCAGTGTTGACAAAGTTTGGTCAAACTACCCCCTTGACCAGCACGTAGAGTCGGGGGGGGGGGGGGGGAGGGCTTCGTCCATCAGGGGATTGGAAAAGGGCTGTACATACAATGGGGGATAATTCGACGAAAACATGTTGGAAAAACATCCCATGTTGAACCGCGAAAAGTCCTAGTGGAAATGTGATATGTGGAAATGTACTGACGGTTATCTGCTATTGCCTTCTACTTACGGCTCGTATGGAGCAAACGTGAGAGATCCATTTGTAAGTTTTCGTGTGTTTTGTTTATTATCCTTCCCCGCACCTACGATTAGCATGGTTATCTACGTACGGTGCGAAGGAAGTTCAGCTTACGTACAAGTGGTTCAGCAATTCCATTGCCTTGTCTGAGAGGTGGTGATTTGCCAATACATCGCATTAGTGCCGCCATTATGAATGAGGTGTGGTGTTTTTCCCTCTGTGACCTGCAGGCATCTACAAGGACGCAATGTGCAGCCAACACATTGACCACGCCGTGCTGGTCGTGGGCTACGGTGTGGACGAGACCGGGCAGAAATTCTGGCTCGTCAAGAACAGGTGCGTTGTTATGAGATTATTATTCCAACCAGACAACAACCACACTATCTCATGTATAAACATTTTATTAACTCCCGCATACAGGGACTCCTCTACATATGAACCAGTTAGGTTACAGAGGTCTGTTCGTAAGTTGATTTGTTCATAAGTCCAACTTTACTCCTGTCGATTCCAAACACGTTGTACGGCGTGTACACTAAACACGGGAAATGGCTTTAAACGTTGTATAATCTCCTGTAGATGTAGATGCCACTGGTTCTTCACGTTCTGTAGATGTAGATGCCACTGGTTCTTCACGTTCTGCAGATGTAGATGCCACCGCCACCATCTATTGCGTGGCGGTTGAACTTGCGACTCTTGATCCGAACAGGCAACTGGACGTACGGAGGTTTTTTTTCTTCTTGGTTCTTTCGGTAAAGTCACGTAGAAGGGAAATAATAAAATAATAAAAATAAAACATAATAAAATAAGTCTCACGACGTTTCGGCCACAATGCAAGCAGCCGTCCTCAGGTGAAGAATTCAGACGCTGTCTTTCCGACAGACCTGTTCTTCACCTGAGGACGGCTGCTTGCGTTGTGGCCAAAACGTCGTGAGAATTATTTTATTATGTTTTATTTTTATTATTTTATTATTTCCCTTCTACGTGACTTTACCGAAAGAACGAAGAAGATGAATCCCTGCAGTCACGAAAGCTTTAAATCGAAAGTACGGAGGTTTGTTCGTATTTCAGAAAATTCGAATGTTCATAAGTAGGAGGAGTCCCTGTGTACATTTTCACTTGTCCTTCTAGAGGCCCCCCCCCACATGGGTGGGGGCAGTGAGCCCAATCTCCTCCCCCCTTCAACGCGAGTCGCTTGGTTTATAGTCCGCAGTGCTAACCACTGTGCCACCGAATATATTAGAGATGAAAAAAACACAAACGGGCTTGTGACGCTGCTCATCTCGGTTGATGGCTCTAGAGCCAGTGGTGTACATTCCACATTCCTATGGCAGGTTCAAGTATATATGGCATTCACAATTGATTTGTAACAAATTTGTATGCATGTTCAATTTCTTTCGCGCCGTACGCGGCCAACCGTGCTAACCGGAGGTGTGGTAATTTGGCGTTCGTCGTCGTAACAATGCCGATTATTTACCCAGGGATAGCCTTACCGAGTCTCAAAACTATTTTAGCAGGATCCTACAACGTAATGTTCGGCCATTACCATTCATGAGCGTTTGGCTTCATGTGGGAGAACCAGAGAACCCGGAGAAAACCCACACGTGGAAGGAGATAGCACTAAACACCGACATCTCCTCGCCACCGTGGGGACTGAAGTCTCCAAAATCTGGCAAGCTCAGGGGGGTCACCTACCCAAATACTAACCAGGCACAATCCTGCTTAGGTGGCTGGGCATGTGTGGTGCTAGCCACGCCTACACTAAACACATGCACGGAAGTGGCCTTAATAGATGCTCGCTGAATTGTGAATTTTGAGCCGTCTATAGGCTCTGTGATTATATATGTTGACCTATAGATGTGTGTGTGTGTGTAGAACGGCAGCGCAGTAGTTAGCGCACTGCACTAAGGACGTGGCAACCCGTGGCTAACATCATTGGTGAATATCTGAACTAGTTCTTGGGCTTTCCCTAGGCCGATTTATCCTTAAGTGAGTACCTGGTCAGGTGTGCAAACATTAGCACTGGGGAGAAAAAGGTGGCTGGGCCTTGTTATGCCCATACCATCACAGTGTGTGTCATACCTACCCAAATAGTTGCTCGCCAACAGCACTATCTGCACCATCTGTATGACTCAATGGGAATATCTGTGTCCTGTGTGTGTGTGTCTCTCTCTGTGTACAGCTGGGGAGTCACCTGGGGAGAGCAGGGATACGTGCGCATGGCTCGTGATGACAACAACCTGTGTGGCATCGCCTCTATGAGTAGCTACCCACTGGTGTAATAATCATCTGGTCTGCCTGCCTCCTAACCAAAGACAGATATAATGGCACACAATTTCCCATTGGTGCACCATCAACTGCATCTGAACATCACCAGCAGGCCGTTGTGCACATCTCCATCAATGTAAAAATTAAAAACACAAGCCTCAGCAGTGCAATTGTGGCCATGCCACCCAAACTATGGACCACACAGTGAACCAGTGTAATCTGCGCTCCTTTGACGGAGGAGGAACAACAAAACTACACGAACTTTCTCCTTGAAGCCCTCTCGTGGCCAGGAGACCTCAACACTGGCATCTGGCTCCTGAACATATATTTTCCATGCGCAAGGATATAACAGAATTGTCCATTTAAGTCAAAGTCACATTCAGGCACTTCGGTCCTCAAATTAGCAATCGTTGGTGCTCATCACTATTAGAGATCGCGTGAGGTTTTTTTTAAATATCATGTGTGGGTGTGAACCTGCACAAGATCCTCTCCTAACCACTTTCCACTTTGTGTCAGACTAACCCCCCCCCACCACCATCCCCCTATCCCTTCACTCCCTCGCCCAGACAATGGCGAGACACAAGCGAGTATGTACCAAGTAGGGTGCGGTGCCCGGTTGGCGCAGTAGGGGGCACAGGTGGTGGTGCATCTGACGGTCATCTCAGTCAGCCAACCCATGGCACCTGCTGGGTCTGTCCCGTGACCTCCTGTCGGCAGCGAGCCTTCGACACTTCACGTGGCAGCCTCCAAAGCGCACGTGGCCTGGCACAGGCGCCGTGGTGACGTCACCGTCACTTGGTGGCGAATTGCGGCCGTTGGTATTGGTGGTGCCAACGCCTTGTGATAATTCTCGCCAGCGAGAGCCGATGAAACCCGTCTTCTCAGTCGTGCTCCGTCTGCATGTTTTGGGTCGGGGGGCGGGGGGGCTACCGTTGGGGGCCAGAGAAGAGTGTCACCCCGAGTGCTGCCCAGTCTCTTCACTGCCAGAGCTCGCAGAAGACTCGTCACGTGCACGCACGCACTTGGACCGATTGCCGACGTTAAGACTTGAGATTGGAATGTGACAAAAAGCAAACTAACAACCTTTACATAAACGACAATTGAGCCACAGCAAAGTTTTTTTTTTTTGGGTTCGATCGCCGTAAATCTAAATGCGTCGTTAAAGCCGCCACCACCCGACACGGCTAACTAGTAAGGTCTGTTACGTAAACAAAACGTGGCAATTGGTTACGAGTTCAGCACACCGGTGTATTGGAGAGTAAATCCACAACATTAATGATTCGAGTACGACGTTTCGCCGGTGATTACAACCAGCTTCATCAAGTGATAGCCATAATTGTGAAGAAGTGTTCCTGTTTCAGTCCTTGGTTGAACATTTACATTCACGATACACTTTAACAGGCCACAAATTCAGTCCGTGACTCAAAAGGGAATGCTTCTATCTGAGCCCTGTTTCCCCCCCCCCCCCCCCCCCCGTCAATGTTATCAATTGGTGGCCGGTGCACGGCAAGTCTCACGGCTCAGTGGGGTCGTGTGTAGGGCTCGCACAGCCGGTCAGCGCTGCCCACAGGGGGGGTTGGCCCACTGCCCGGCACTGCGCAGGGCCTCGCATCGCATAAACCTCAGATCTTCACCCCTATACAGACAGCTACCCTAGGGGGTGACCAAATCCCAATGCAGGCGGTGCAGGCAGCCTGCCACAGGCCGGTCCTTTTAGCTATCACTTCGGGGATGAGCGGGAAAGCCTCGGTCTTGCTGTTGGCAGCTTCCTGCCAGCCACAGTGGCTGCGTCTGCCTGTGGTGCAGCAGCAACTCAAGTAAAGTTGTGGTCACTGTACTAGCAAGCCTCTCCAGCCGTCCTCTTAACAGCCTCAAGAAATACCTCGGCACTTGGCAGTACTCAAAGCAGCCACATGGGTGGCTGCTCAAATGGCCTCCAGTAGCTGCTCCAAGCTAACCTAGTCACTGCTCCATAACCGCGTTTTTACACCAGCTTGCAGAGTACTCCTGATGCTACGCAAGTTATTTTACTTAATCTGGTGTCCTCAACACCAGGAGTTCCGCGGTGGTGAGATGTTTACTCCCTCGCCTGATCTGCAAAAGGCCGTGCGTTCGATTCCGACCATGCCGCCTGCTGTATATTTGCAGTTTGCATGTTCTCCCCGTGGTTATGTGGATTTTTATCCGGGTCCGATTTTTTCCCTCCACATTTAGAATCGACATGCGTTCAGGGTATTCAGCTGCTATACATTTCAACGTGATAAGCAACTTCGTTGAGAGCTATCATTTGTGGCGAAGTTGCTTCTGAAATTAGAACTACACAGCTCTCAGTGGGCATTTCCTGCTGAAATAAAAAAAAAACTGTTTAGTTTCTATAGTTTCAGTTGATCTACCTCCTATCATGTTTTTTTTTTATTCAAGGCACTCTTACCAGCTCATCGACTCACATGTTCTCCTCCTCCACCACCACTAACTCTGTTCCCTCCTTTTCTCCCTGCCAAGACTCACGCTTTCTCCCCAGTCCCCACTGGTTTCTCTCGCTCATCATCATTCCAGGCGGTCACGGGTCCGTTTGTTTGGGCTGCTTATTTCTTCCCTTACGATTTGTACGCGAATCCAGCGTTTTAGGGTGAACCACCGTCGGAATTGATCAAGCTTCGCTTCTGATTTCAGTAAATTTTCATGAGTCTCAAAATTATTGGCTGCTTTTATAAACAAAATAAAACACGTTGCATCCGTTTTATAGGTTAGCGATGTTTTAAACTGAAAAATGAATATGTTAAACATGCTTGAATTACAGGTGCAATTTTTTTTTAAAGATATATTTTGAACAATGCTTTCTACGCATGTGTTTTTTAATAGAGGGATCTTTGTAAACTCTACACTATCGTTTATTCTTAATAAACAATTGTAAAATTGAATGAGTCCGTGCGTTTTATATGGATGGAGTGTGGCGCTGTGGTGTGTGGAAGATGCCCTATGACCCCCCCCCCGACACCCGAGTTGCATTCCCAGTTGGTCGAGGGCAAATCTAAGCGGCATATTGCATTTGAAGCTGTCCTGGGCTTCCCCAGGACGGCTTCCCCAGATTAAGAAACACTGGTCGAACCTGGGGTGCATGCAAATGTGTTCACGCTTGAGAACCAACGGGATGCAAGGCTGCAGTAAAGTTAGATTTGAAGCTTTCGTGACTGAAATGATTCATACTCTTAGGTTTTTTCGGTAAAGTCACGTAGGTAAAAAATAAAAATAATAGACATAATAGAAATATAATTATTATCTCTATAATTATTAATTTTTTACCTACGTGACTTTACCGACAAAACCTAAGAGTATGCGGTAAAGTTCTAAGAAACACTTGCCCGAGATGGGCTCCGCCTGAGTTGCGTATAAACTATAAGCTACAGCACTGCAAAACAGTGGTGCTGGCCACACCACCCATTCGTAGCGCTATGCCAGCCTTGCCTTGTTCATAGGGTCTCGCTAACACCATGCTCTCGCACGACACTTGCCACGTCCTATTAAATGCACTTTTTTTTGCAGATAAGGGGCCGTCCATAAATAACGTCACGAGATTTTTGACGATTTTTGACCCCCCCCCCCCCTCGTTACACGGCGTCATAAAAAGTCAGACCCCCCCCCCCTCAAATATGACGTCACAAAGCTCTGCCCCCCCACCTCCCTAAAAAATAAAAGATGCTTCAAATCGCTTTAAACTATTGTCATTGTAGTGCGTTTTTAATGTGGCGTTGCACTCTGATGCAGGAGAAAACATTAAAAAGTCTATTTAATTAAGTAGAACGTGTTGTCTATATTTATTTAAAGTTGCTCATTTTGATGTGACGTCACATTTCTCAAATCCCCCCCCCCCCGCTCGTCACACATCGTCACAAATGTCTGACCCCCCCCCCCACCCCTAAGTGCGTGACGTCATTTATGGCCGGCCCCTAAGAGGAGTCATGCGCTCAATTTATTCTGTTACCGAACATTTATCGTCGGACAGAAGTGACCTGGAAATGGTCTCCCACGAGTGCCTTTGTATGCACCGGATCTCGCCACAGGGGTTATTTAACCATATTTCACCATTCTAGAATTGAAGCTTTCGTGACTGCAAGGATTCATATTCTTAGGTTTTTTTCGGTAAAGTCACGTAGGTAAACATTTTAAATTAAAATTAATAAAAGTAAAATAAAAATAAAATAAAAATTACGACGTTTCGGAGGCAACACAAGCTTCCGTCTTCAGGTGGAACCGTCACAGCACGATTGCTGTATAAGCAATCTGCTGTATCAGCAATCTTACTTCATACAGCAATCGAGTACGAAGAGACGCGTAGTAAAGTACTCATTGACATGTAAATTTTGTCTCTAACCCCTCCCTCTCTCTGCCTCCGCCCCCCCCCTCTGTCTATTTAAGGCCACCCCACAGAGACGATCACCCCTCTCTGTACCTGTGTTGCTCTCTCTGTGTATCTTGGTGATATCTGTCTGCTTACATGTCTGTCTGTGGTTTTCTGGTTAGATTTTGGGTCGCTATTTCATTATACCTGATGAAGATTGCTTGTGTTGCAATCGAAACGTCGTATGCTATTATTTAATTTATTATTTTATCTTTATACGTGACTTTACCGAAAGAACCAAAGAATAATTCCTGCAGTCACGAAAGCTCCAAAATTAAGATCGCAATGTTGGGCCCTCTCAATGTGAAATCTGCTGACCAGGTAATAGTTCAAATGCCATGAGTGGTGACTTGACGTCACTCGCAGAAATACAGGGTGACCCACCGCGCTGGCGAGATGTTAACTCCCTCGCCTGGTATGCAAGATGGTCGTGGTGGGTTCTATACCGACCCGGAGTTTGCATGTTCTCTCCGTGGTCGCATGGACTTTTCTCCGGGTCTTCCGGTATATTCCTCCACATTTAGAAAGCATGTGTTTGGAGAATTTGGCTGCGATACATTTCCACACGATAAGCCACTTCATTGAGGTCGCTTCCGAAAAAGAGCTATGTAGCTCAGTGGGCCTTACCTGGTAAAATTACAAGTTTTATTTTTTAATAGATACCACACTGATTTCTCATGACTCTCTTACTTTCATCTCGTCAGGGGATTGAAGAATAAAAAAGCGATGGATTCGAATCTTAAACGGTATGGAGATTGGTGTAAGACGTGTATTGGTGTACGGTGCTTTTTCTGCAATATTTTGCTGTCTTTTCTTGGATTTTCTGTTTGCACATAGTCACTTTAAGATGCTTTCTTGTTCATGTTTTTGTTTTTTTGTTTGTTGCGGTTGCACCCGATTCAAGAGCCGAATGGCTCACAGGGCTATACCTAATAAATGAAACTTGAAACTTGAAACGTGTAGAGGCTTTGAAACAATATTGCTTTTTTTTCTCTGTAGTTTTTCATTTTTGTGGGGCATCCGGAATGCCGCGTCAGCCCTCGACTTGAACTTGATGACTTTGTACTGAAGGTCATCATGCTGCTTTGCATAAGCACTTTCATCTACCTTATTTTTACACAATTGACGTCAACAAACTTTAACTTCACTTATCTTTTTAATTTCCACAATCTTTATTGAATAACGATCACTTTGGACGGTGCGACCTTAATGTAGTTCAGTGTTTAAAAAAAGATTTTTAAAAAAACGTTCATATATTTCACTGTTCCTGTAATGTGCATTCATTTCCTTCGAGTTACAGCACGGATTGTTTCATTCTCACAGCTGCACATACGTGTGTCTGAACCATACTGGCTAGAAACCTGACTCCGATTCATGAGACGTACCGTCACGAGAGTGGTGGCCAATCATAAGACCCTCTCGGGTTAGGCTTAAATAATATAAGGTAGCCCCCCCCCCCCCCCCACACACACACCTCTGTGTGTCTGACGTTCTCACTACTCACAGGTAAGGTGAGCCTCTACAGACACTCGCTCTTGACCGTGTTCTTAATTGCATTGTCCAACGAGGTGAAACTCCACTTGAAACACCTAACGCGGTGTGAAATCAGCAATGGGAAGACAAGAGGTGGCCAGGCGTGGTTCTTGCAACACCACTCACCTCGTGCCAGCCTTCATAGGAGTTGGCTAACAGCACTGGTGCCAACAGGGTATACTTATAGGTGGTGGGATCTTTTCCGTATGTCCACCGTAGTTTCCCACTTGACATGAAAACGTCAGACGGTATATGATGACCAACAGGGCAAGGACTGTCGCTGAAAGTTTGCGGACTCATCAGCCTCTGTAAAGGGGCTGTACGAGGAGAGAAAGAGGGGGGGGGGGAGTATTCTTGACTTAAAGCTTTCGTGACTGCAGGATTTCAACTGCAACACAAGCGGTCGTCATCGAAACGTCGTAGTTTTTTCTGTGATTGTCTTTGAACCTATCTACGTGACTTTACCAAAAAACTCAAAGAATAGGGGGGGCATAGTTCCCACTTTTAACTCCTTATCCTCCTCTCATTGTCTGCTGCCTTGCAGACGGTCTTGACGGGAAGAAGATGAAGCTGCTGCTCGTCGCTCTGCTGGGGCTCGTGGCCTTGGTCTCTGCGGCCGTGGCCTCGCCCCTCCTCGACCCGGAGCTGTCGCCCGAGTGGGAGTCCTGGAAGGAGTTCCACGGCAAGACCTACGGCGAGGTCGGTCGCGACCACCACGCACGGCGCCGCCGGCGTGGCGCGGCCGTGCGCTTGTAGAGCAGCTCCTTGTTCAGAGACGTCCACGTTGTAGAGCGTTGTAGAGCAGCTCCTTGTTCAGAGATGTCCACGTTGTATAGCGTTGTAGAGCAGCTCCTTGTTCAGAGACGTCCACGTTGTAGAGCGTTGTAGAGCAGCTCCTTGTTCAGAGATGTTCACGTTGTAGAGCGTTGTAGAGCAGCTCCTTGTTCAGAGATGTTCACGTTGTAGAGCGTTGTAGAGCAGCTCCTTGTTCAGAGACGTCCACGTTGTAGAGCGTTGTAGAGCAGCTCCTTGTTCAGAGATGTTCACGTTGTAGAGCGTTGTAGAGCAGCTCCTTGTTCAGAGACGTCCACGTTGTAGAGCGTTGTAGGGCAGCTCCTTGTTCAGAGATGTTCACGTTGTAGAGCGTTGTAGAGCAGCTCCTTGTTCAGAGATGTTCACGTTGTAGAGCGTTGTAGAGCAGCTCCTTGTTCAGAGATGTTCACGTTGTAGAGCGTTGTAGAGCAGCTCCTTGTTCAGAGACGTCCACGTTGTAGAGCGTTGTAGAGCAGCTCCTTGTTCAGAGATGTTCACGTTGTAGAGCGTTGTAGAGCAGCTCCTTGTTCAGAGATGTTCACGTTGTAGAGCGTTGTAGAGCAGCTCCTTGTTCAGAGACGTCCACGTTGTAGAGCGTTGTAGAGCAGCTCCTTGTTCAGAGATGTTCACGTTGTAGAGCGTTGTAGAGCAGCTCCTTGTTCAGAGATGTTCACGTTGTAGAGCGTTGTAGAGCAGCTCCTTGTTCAGAGATGTTCACGTTGTAGAGCGTTGTAGAGCAGCTCCTTGTTCAGAGATGTTCACGTTGTAGAGCGTTGTAGAGCAGCTCCTTGTTCAGAGACGTCCACGTTGTAGAGCGTTGTAGAGCAGCTCCTTGTTCAGAGATGTTCACGTTGTAGAGCGTTGTAGAGCAGCTCCTTGTTCAGAGATGTTCACGTTGTAGAGCGTTGTAGAGCAGCTCCTTGTTCAGAGACGTCCACGTTGTAGAGCGTTGTAGAGCAGCTCCTTGTTCAGAGATGTTCACGTTGTAGAGCGTTGTAGAGCAGCTCCTTGTTCAGAGATGTTCACGTTGTAGAGCGTTGTAGAGCAGCTCCTTGTTCAGAGACGTCCACGTTGTAGAGCGTTGTAGAGCAGCTCCTTGTTCAGAGATGTTCACGTTGTAGAGCGTTGTAGAGCAGCTCCTTGTTCAGAGATGTTCACGTTGTAGAGCATTGTAGAGCAGCTCCTTGTTCAGAGATGTTCACGTTGTAGAGCGTTGTAGAGCAGCTCCTTGTTCAGAGACGTCCACGTTGTAGAGCGTTGTAGAGCAGCTCCTTGTTCAGAGATGTTCACGTTGTAGAGCGTTGTAGAGCAGCTCCTTGTTCAGAGACGTCCACGTTGTAGAGCGTTGTAGAGCAGCTCCTTGTTCAGAGATGTTCACGTTGTAGAGCGTTGTAGAGCAGCTCCTTGTTCAGAGATGTTCACGTTGTAGAGCGTTGTAGAGCAGCTCCTTGTTCAGAGATGTTCACGTTGTAGAGCGTTGTAGAGCAGCTCCTTGTTCAGAGACGTCCACGTTGTAGAGCGTTGTAGAGCAGCTCCTTGTTCAGAGATGTTCACGTTGTAGAGCGTTGTAGAGCAGCTCCTTGTTCAGAGATGTTCACGTTGTAGAGCGTTGTAGAGCAGCTCCTTGTTCAGAGATGTTAACGTTGTAGAGCGTTGTAGAGCAGCTCCTTGTTCAGAGATGTTCACGTTGTAGAGCGCTGTAGAGCAGCTCCTTGTTCAGAGATGTTCACGTTGTAGAGCGTTGTAGACCAGCTCCTTGTTCAGAGATGTTCACGTTGTATAGCGTTGTAGACCAGCTCCTTGTTCAGAGATGTCCACGTTGTATAGCGTTGTAGAGCAGCTCCTTGTTCAGAGACGTCCACGTTGTAGAGCGTTGTAGAGCAGCTCCTTGTTCAGAGATGTTCACGTTGTAGAGCGTTGTAGAGCAGCTCCTTGTTCAGAGATGTTCACGTTGTAGAGCGCTGTAGAGCAGCTCCTTGTTCAGAGATGTTCACGTTGTAGAGCGTTGTAGACCAGCTCCTTGTTCAGAGATGTCCACGTTGTAGAGCGTTGTAGACCAGCTCCTTGTTCAGAGACGTCCAGGTTGTAGAGCGTTGTAGAGCAGCTCCTTGTTCAGAGATGTCCACGTTGTAGAGCGTTGTAGAGCAGCTCCTTGTTCAGAGATGTTCACGGTGTAGAGCATTGTAGAGCAGCTCCTTGTTCAGAGATGTTCACGTTGTAGAGCGTTGTAGAGCAGCTCCTTGTTCAGAGATGTTCACGTTGTAGAGCGTTGTAGAGCAGCTCCTTGTTCAGAGATGTTCACGTTGTAGAGCGTTGTAGAGCAGCTCCTTGTTCAGAGATGTTCACGTTGTAGAGCGTTGTAGAGCAGCTCCTTGTTCAGAGATGTTCACGGTGTAGAGCGTTGTAGAGCAGCTCCTTGTTCAGAGATGTTCACGGTGTAGAGCGTTGTAGAGCAACTCCTTGTTCAGAGATGTTCACGTTGTAGAGCGCTGTAGAGCAGCTCCTTGTTCAGAGATGTTCACGTTGTAGAGCGTTGTAGACCAGCTCCTTGTTCAGAGATGTTCACGTTGTAGAGCGTTGTAGACCAGCTCCTTGTTCAGAGATGTCCACGTTGTATAGCGTTGTAGAGCAGCTCCTTGTTCAGAGACGTCCACGTTGTAGAGCGTTGTAGAGCAGCTCCTTGTTCAGAGATGTTCACGTTGTAGAGCGTTGTAGAGCAGCTCCTTGTTCAGAGATGTTCACGTTGTAGAGCGCTGTAGAGCAGCTCCTTGTTCAGAGATGTTCACGTTGTAGAGCGTTGTAGACCAGCTCCTTGTTCAGAGATGTCCACGTTGTAGAGCGTTGTAGACCAGCTCCTTGTTCAGAGACGTCCACGTTGTAGAGCGTTGTAGAGCAGCTCCTTGTTCAGAGATGTCCACGTTGTAGAGCGTTGTAGAGCAGCTCCTTGTTCAGATATGTTCACGGTGTAGAGCATTGTAGAGCAGCTCCTTGTTCAGAGATGTTCACGTTGTAGAGCGTTGTAGAGCAGCTCCTTGTTCAGAGATGTTCACGTTGTAGAGCGTTGTAGAGCAGCTCCTTGTTCAGAGATGTTTACGGTGTAGAGCGTTGTAGACCAGCTCCTTGTTCAAAGACGTCCACGTTGTAGAGCGTTGTAGAGCAGCTCCTTGTTCAGAGATGTCCACGTTGTAGAGCGTTGTAGAGCAGCTCCTTGTTCAGAGATGTTCACGGTGTAGAGCATTGTAGAGCAGCCCCTTGTTCAGAGATGTTCACGTTGTAGAGCGTTGTAGAGCAGCTCCTTGTTCAGAGATGTTCACGTTGTAGAGCGTTGTAGAGCAGCTCCTTGTTCAGAGATGTTCACGGTGTAGAGCGTTGTAGAGCAGCTCCTTGTTCAGAGATGTTCACGTTGTAGAGCGCTGTAGAGCAGCTCCTTGTTCAGAGATGTTCACGTTGTAGAGCGTTGTAGAGCAGCTCCTTGTTCAGAGATGTTCACGTTGTAGAGCGTTGTAGAGCAGCTCCTTGTTCAGAGATGTTCACGGTGTAGAGCGTTGTAGAGCAGCTCCTTGTTCAGAGATGTTCACGTTGTAGAGCGCTGTAGAGCAGCTCCTTGTTCAGAGATGTTCACGTTGTAGAGCGTTGTAGACCAGCTCCTTGTTCAGAGATGTTCACGTTGTAGAGCGTTGTAGAGCAGCTCATTGTTCAGAGACGTCCACGTTGTAGAGCGTTGTAGAGCAGCTCCTTGTTCAGAGACGTCCACGTTGTAGAGCGTTGTAGAGCGGCTCCTTGTTCAGAGATGTCCACGTTGTGGAGCGTTCTAGAGGGACTCTTTGTTCAGAGACGTCCACGTTGTAGAGCGTTGTAGAGCGACTCCTTGTTCAGAGATGTTCATGTTGTAGAGCGTTGTAGAATAGCTCCTTGTTCAGAGATGTTCACGTTGTAGAGCGTTGTAGAGCAGCTCCTTGTTCAGAGATGTCCACGTTGTAGAGCGTTGTAGAGCAGCTCCTTGTTCAGAGATGTTCACGGTGTAGAGCGTTGTAGAGCAGCTCCTTGTTCAGAGATGTTCACGTTGTAGAGCGCTGTAGAGCAGCTCCTTGTTCAGAGATGTTCACGTTGTAGAGCGTTGTAGACCAGCTCCTTGTTCAGAGATGTCCACGTTGTATAGCGTTGTAGAGCAGCTCCTTGTTCAGAGACGTCCACGTTGTAGAGCGTTGTAGAGCAGCTCCTTGTTCAGAGATGTTCACGTTGTAGAGCGTTGTAGAGCAGCTCCTTGTTCAGAGATGTTCACGTTGTAGAGCGCTGTAGAGCAGCTCCTTGTTCAGAGATGTTCACGTTGTAGAGCGTTGTAGACCAGCTCCTTGTTCAGAGATGTCCACGTTGTAGAGCGTTGTAGACCAGCTCCTTGTTCAGAGATGTTCACGTTGTAGAGCGTTGTAGAGCAGCTCCTTGTTCAGAGATGTCCACGTTGTAGAGCGTTGTAGAGCAGCTCCTTGTTCAGAGATGTTCAAGGTGTAGAGCATTGTAGAGCAGCTCCTTGTTCAGAGATGTTCACGTTGTAGAGCGTTGTAGAGCAGCTCCTTGTTCAGAGATGTTCACGTTGTAGAGCGTTGTAGAGCAGCTCCTTGTTCAGAGATGTTCACGGTGTAGAGCGTTGTAGAGCAGCTCCTTGTTCAGAGATGTTCACGTTGTAGAGCGCTGTAGACCAGCTCCTTGTTTAGATATGTTCACGTTGTAGAGCGTTGTAGAGCAGCTCATTGTTCAGAGACGTCCACGTTGTAGAGCGTTGTAGAGCAGCTCCTTGTTCAGAGACGTCCACGTTGTAGAGCGTTGTATAGCGGCTCCTTGTTCAGAGATGTCCACGTTGTGGAGCGTTGTAGAGGGACTCTTTGTTCAGAGACGTCCACGTTGTAGAGCGTTGTAGAGCGACTCCTTGTTCAGAGATGTTCATGTTGTAGAGCGTTGTAGAGTAGCTCCTTGTTCAGAGATGTTCACGTTGTAGAGCGTTGTAGAGCAGCTCCTTGTTCAGAGATGTCCACGTTGTAGAGCGTTGTAGAGCAGCTCCTTGTTCAGAGATGTTCACGGTGTAGCGCGTTGTAGAGCAGCTCCTTGTTCAGAGATGTTCACGTTGTAGAGCGTTGTAGAGCAGCTCCTTGTTCAGAGATGTTCACGTTGTAGAGCGTTGTAGAGCAGCTCCTTGTTCAGAGATGTCCACGTTGTAGAGCGTTGTAGACCAGCTCCTTGTTCAGATACGTCCACGTTGTGGAGCGTTGTAGAGCGGCTCCTTGTTCAGAGACGACCCTGTTGTAGAGCGTTGTTGAGCAGCTCCTTGTTTAGAGACGACCCTGCGTCACAATGTTTTTTCAATGATGTCATTGGAAGGGAGTTTGCCGATAAGAGATGTTATCCTTGGGACAGTCTCAGTTTAACGTTTTAATATAGAATTTAAACGCTTGCTTTGCTGCAGTTTTACCATTTTTTAAGGATACGTTTTTATTTTCAGTATTCTTTCACTCCCTAAACAATGAGGCAAAGGGTGGACATGATGATATCAGCATCACAGTGGTGTGACTACCCAGTGTGCAGAGGGTACAGAATTCCTCAACCACACTGATTTACAAATGAATAAAACTACAGCATGTCACATACTTTACCAGTTCTTATCAGATGTAAAATTATACTTACTTTAATCATAACGTACAGCCCTTTGCAAATACACTGCTAATTTAAGGCGTACCAAAACCATTCCGACAAAATGACCATGAAGTTGAATGAGTCCCCCTATCTATGTTATGATTTGTACTGTTTTGAATTACATTCATTGGCCTCTTGAAAGAGAATTTGACTCAGTAGAAATGTTGGCGCAGTCATCATCCTATCTCTCGTGAACTAATGCTGAAATAAAAAGAGTGTACTTCTGAAATAAAGTCAGTTACAAATAAGACAACAGCCATACTAAGAAGATTACACGGAGAAAGTAGAACCACAAAACGTGTTGCTGTAAAAGGGGAGTCAGACTAGGTGACACGCTTTCTCCAAAGTTTCTCGCACGGTTGGCTACCTATGGTATGAAAGAAGTTCAACATACGTACATATTTATTCACAGCGACATTAAAACGTGTACAGTATTCTGAAAATTGGTTCAGCAAATGACAGTAAAGGCATAAATATAAGTGGAGAAGAAATTAGACTACAAAGCCATATTAATAAAGAAGCCTGAAAAGTTAGGCTTAGAAAATTTTAGAAAAATTAAGGTCATGTACAGCAAGTTAGCCGAACAACTGCGGACACACAAGTGGAAAACGCAGCAGAGTTATGTGTACCTTGGATAGCTATTGAAGGCAAGAACAAAATTAGAATAAAAACAAAATAGTCACAAAGTGTTTTCCAGCTGCAAACGGCAAATGTGGCCCAACAGTAATGTCAATTCACAGTCTTGAGGCGGTGGTTTAAATTCCGCATTCCCATGACAGGCGGACATTCTCAATGTTGTCGTCACAACTGACAGCTCGAAAAACTGGTGCTCTTTTTGTAAACGATAAAAGCGATGATAGCGCCGATTATACTTTGCATTTCGATTGTTCTAGCCACAGACCTACATGACCACTTGGCTCAACGTACGTTGCATTCTGTGATGCATTTGCTCTGCCTGCTGTGCTGTAGGAGGAGGGCTGGAGGAGGATGATTTGGGAGAAGAACCTCAAGATGATCTCCGTGCACAACCTGGAATACTCCATGGGCAAGCACACCTGGAGCATGGGCATGAACCAATTCAGCGACATGGTGAGCCAGAACATCGCATACCTCCTCTACGCTTCACCTCCGATTCGCATTCCCACCGGGCACTTCCCGGACTGCCCTATGGCCAGTCCCGGCCTGAGCCTCACCAAATTATTTAGCAATTTCTATTGTTGGGAATTTCCACCTTTGGCTCAGGGCTGCAGGCGGCAATGTGCAACCTCAATGCTCGTTTGTGCATGCAGATGCGTTGGCTTGAAATTCTGACTTGACGTCACGCAAATTGGAAGCATCCGAGAGTTTACGTTCATCGTAAATGCGCGTCCCCCGCAGACAACAGAGGAGTTCCAGCAGCAGATGCTGTGTTTCAAAGGCTGGAACAGCACCGGCGAGGACTCCAACGGGTCCGCGTTCATGGCGCCCGCCGACTTTGAAGCCCCTGCGAACGTGGACTGGAGGAAGCAGGGCTACGTCACTGGTGTCAAAAACCAGGTAAAAGATCGAGAGGTCATCATTGGCCTCAGCAGGGTTGGCTACGTACGGTGCGAAAGAAGTTCAAAATAGAAACATAGTGCGATTATTGACACCACATTTTGGTGTTGCTTCCTTTCTACCAGATCCGTGAGCCGTTGCAAAGTTGACATTTGACCCGCAATGAATTGCTCTTGCAAATGTCTCATTATTGGACTGTAGATCTTCCTCCCTATCACTGACCTCTGGGTACTACTCCATTACCTGTCTCAGTCACCTGGCCATCTCCTTCCTGCTCACCTGTTCCATCGACCACATCCTCCTCTCCCTGATTAGGTCGACAAAACGTTTTTGCCAGGTTCCATCTTGAATTTTTTAATCTCTCACCAGATCCTGCCATGAAATTCCTTGCATCCTCTGCAAGCACACGCATTCGGAGGCCACGGGGGACTCATTCAAACGCATCCATGCCGTGGTGTCAGCGCGTTTATTCATCATTTCTGGCTCTCTTACCCTTCTGCTGACAAAAGTTACGACTGAACATTTCTTTTCCGGGATGCGGCTCCAATCTTAAATTGAGCGCCGTCTCTGCGCGTGTCTCTCTCTGTTCCGCAGGGCGGTCGTGCGGGGAGCGGCTAGCGTAGAGGTTAGCGTGGCGGCTAGCGTAGAGGTTAGCGTAGCGGTAAAGTAGCGGTGAGCACTGCACTGCACTACGATCCCGGCGACACGAGTTCCATTCACCTGATGGCGCCAATGATGGCAGCCTCGGCCGGTTGGTGCACCCTGTTTTGTCTTGTTTTGTCTGTTAATTCAGTGTTCTGCCAAGTTTTTCGGAGTTCTCTAACAAGAGACGAATTTTGAAACATTAGGAAAACAACTCATGTGGATTTATTTCCCACTTTTCTGCTTCCAGCGGCAGAATTAGTGGGCATTCTAGTCAAAGCCGCGCTCGGCTTTGCTCAAGCAGCGAAACGCCGCCGAAGGGGTAAACGGGCGGGGGCTCTGTGCGGCTACGCAGACGCGGGATCCGAACAGTGCTTCCAAGCTTTTTCCTTTCCAACGTACGTTCACTGTGCAAAAAAATGGACGAAATTCAGCTACTGATGGTGAAAAACAACGACTTTTTTTCATCTTTTGTCTTGTGCTTCACGGAGACATGGCTGTGTGATTTTATCCCGGATACTGCGTTACAACTGGCAGGCTTCCAACTCGTAAGATCGGATTGTGACATAGGACTCTCCGGCAAGACGAGGGCGGTGGTATTTGTTTTACACGAACAGTGGCTGGTGTGTAGATGTAACAGTGATTCTGCAACATTGTTCTCATTTTTTATAAACTGTAAACCTTTTTACTCGCCTTGCGAGTTCGCGTCGCTCATTTTGGTCGGAGTCCTCAGGTTAAAGAGGCCCAACGCATGCTCACCGACCAAATTCTGAGGGTGGAGCGAGAAAATCCGGATTCCCTGGTTATCGTACTCGGCGATTTTAACAAAGGTAATCTCAGCCACGAACTCCCCAAATACAGACAATTCATTAAATGCCCTACCAGAGAAGGGAACACTCTGGATCACTGCTACACTACAGTCAGTAGAGCCTACCACGCCGTCCCCAGAGCAGCACTGGGACATTGTGACCATGCCATGGTCCACATGATTCCTGCATAAAGGTAGAAACTAAAGCTCTGTAAACCTCTTCTTGGTTCTTTCGGTAAAGTCACGTAGAAGGGAAGTAATAAAATAATAAAAATAAAACAATAAAATAATTCTCACGACGTTTCGGCCACAACGCAAGCAGCCGTCCTCAGGTGAAACCAGGTCTGTCGAGGCGACAGCGTCTGCATGAAACAGCACACGTGCTTGGAGCATATATACAAGCTGGGTTGGAAGGGGGGGGGAGGGCGTCTTGACAAAATAATTTGCATATCAAGAGGAATTTAGCATATTTATGGGAAATGCAGGTATGTGATTAGTACTTCTTATGTCCGTGCATTATGCAGGATTAGCAGCATCTGTAAACCTGCTGTGAGGACATCTAAACAGTGGACCAGTGAGGCTATGGAGAATCTGCGGGCGTGCTTGGACTGTACTGACTGGGATATGTTCACGACTGCTACCAATAGTCTGGATGAACTCACAGAGGCTGTGACGTTGTACATCAGCTTCTGTAAGGACTGCTGTATTCCAACACGCACCAGGGTGAACTTCAACAACAACAAGCCCTGGTTTTCAGCAAAGCTCAGAAGGTTGAGGTTGGAGAAGGAGGAAGCGTTTAAGAGTGGGGGTAGAGACAGATTCAAGGAGTCGAAGAACAGGTTTAACAAGGCGGTGAAAGAGGCTAAATGACTGTACTCAGAGAGACTTAAACATCAGCTATCTGCTAACGACTCTGCATCTGTCTGGAGAGGGCTCAGGCAGATCACCAACTACAAGCCCAGAGCCCCCCACACCACTAACAACTCCCGCCTGGCCAACGACCTGAACGAGTTCTACTGCAGATTTGAAAGACAAATGGACTGTCCTGAACTACCCCTTCCCACCCAAGAGGTCTCCCCCTTCCCCCCACTACGGAGATGACTCTCTCAATTGAGGAGGGAGAGGTTAAAAGACTTTTCAAGAGGCAGAACCCCCGCAAAGCAGCTGGGCCAGACTATGTCTCTCCAGCGACCCTCAAGCACTGCGCTGACCAGCTGTCTCCGGTGTTCACCAACATCTTCAACACCTCACTGGAGACATGCCATGTACCAGCCTGTCTCAAGTCCTCCATTATCATCTCTGTGCCCAAAAAGCCAAGGCCAACAGACCCGTCGCCCTAACCTCTGTGGTAATGAAGTCTTTTGAGCGCCTGGTGCTGGCACATCTCAAAGCCATCACAGACCCTCTCCTGGACCCCCTGCAGTTTGCCTACAGAGTCAACAGGTCTGTGGACGACGCAGTTAACATGGCCCTCCACTTAACCCTACAGTACCTGGACTCCACAGCATCCTACGCCAGGATCCTGTTTGTGGACTTCAGCTCTGCTTTCAATACCATCATCCCTGCCCTGCTTCAGGACAAGCTCTCCCAGCTGAACGTGCCCGACTCCACCTGCAGGTGGATCACAGACTTCCTGTCTGACAGGAAGCAGTGCGTTAGGTTGGGAACACGAGTCTCTGGCTCCCGGTCCATCAGCACCGGATCTCCTCAGGGCTGCGTCTTTTCCCCTCTGCTATTCTCCCTGTACACCAACAGCTGCACCTCCAGTCATCCGTCCGTCAAACTCTTGAAGTTTGCGGACGACACCACCCTCATTGGGCTCATCTCTGGTGGGGATGAGTCTGACTATAGGTGGGAAGCTGACAACCTGGTGACCTGGTGTAGCCAGAACAACTTAGAGCGTAATGCTCTTAAGACAGTGGAGATGGTTGTGGACTTCAGGAAGAATACAGCCCAACTCACTCCCATCACCCTGTGCGACTCCCCAATCAACACTGTGGAGTCCTTCCAATTCCTGGGCACTATCCTCTCCCAGGACCTCAAGTGGGAACTGAACATCAGCTCCCTCATAAAGAGAGCACAACAGAGGATGTACTTCCTACAGCAGCTGAAGAAATTCGACCTGCCAAAGACAATGATGGTGCACTTCTACACAGCCATCATTGAGTCCATCCTCACCTCCTCTATCACCATCTGGTACGCTGCTAGCACTGCCAAGGACAAGAACAGACTGCAGCATATCATCCGCACTGCTGAGAAGGTGATTGGCTGCAATCTGCCTACCCTCGAGGACCTATACACCTCGAGGACCCTGAGGCGAGCGAGGAAGATTGTGGCCGACTCCTTCCACCCTGGACACTCTCTGTTCCAGCTACTCCCCTCCAGCAAAAGGCTGCGGTCCATCAGGACCAAAACTTCACGCCACAAAAACAGTTTCTTCCCATCCGCTGCTGGCCTCTTCAACAAGGCCAAGGGCTCAAACTGACTTTCACGCTCAAACTGACTTTAACACTCAAACTGACTTTAACACTCAAACTGACTTTAACACTCAAACTGACTTTAACGCTCAAACTGACTTTCACGCTCAAACTGACTTTAACACTCAAACTGACTTTAACACTCAAACTGACTTTAACGCTCAAACTGACTTTAACACTCAAACTGACTTTAACACTCAAACTGACTTTAACACTCAAACTGACATTAACACTCAAACTGACTTTAACACTCAAACTGACTTTAACACTCAAACTGACTTTAACACTCAAACTGACTTTAACACTCACACTGACTTTAACGCTCAAACTGACTTTAACACTCAAACTGACTTTAACACTCAAACTGACTTTAACACTCAAACTGACTTTAACGCTCAAACTGACTTGAATGCTCAAACTGACTTTAACACTCAAACTGACTTTAACACTCAAACTGACTTTAACACTCAAACTGACTTTAACGCTCAAACTGACTTGAATGCTCAAACTGACTTTAACGCTCAAACTGACTTTAACACTCAAACTGACTTTAACACTCAAACTGACTTTAACACTCAAACTGACTTTAACGCTCAAACTGACTTCAATGCTCAAACTGACTTTAACGCTCAAACTGACTTGAACGCTCAAACTGACTTTAACGCTCAAACTGACTTGAACACTCAAACTGACTTTAACGCTCAAACTGACTTTAACGCTCAAACTGACTTTAACACTCAAACTGACTTTAACACTCAAACTGACTTGAATGCTCAAACTGACTTTAACGCTCAAACTGACTTGAACGCTCAAACTGACTTTAACGCTCAAACTGACTTGAACACTCAAACTGACTTTAACGCTCAAACTGACTTTAACGCTCAAACTGACTTGAACGCTCAAACTGACTTGAACACTCAAACTGACTTGAACACTCAAACTGACTTTAACACTCAAACTGACTTTAACGCTCAAACTGACTTTAACGCTCAAACTGACTTGAACGCTCAAACTGACTTTAACACAATATCTGCACAATGACACCCTGCCATATTTACACTATTTTACCCTATTTGCATTTTGTAATTTTACATTGTATATTATAGCTATTGTATATTTTAGATTTTATTTTATTAATTTTTTACATACTTTAGCTCCTTAGTATTAGTTAGACTGTGTACTTTTAGTATAGTTAGACTTGTACACCACTTATTTAAGATTTAAGATTCCTTTATGTTGAATGTATGCACCTTCCTGCCAAAGTAAATTCCTTGTCTGTGCGAACTTTCATGGCGAATAAAACCCTTTCTGATTCTCGTTCACGGCCAACACCAGTGATGATTATCTGAAAGAGTTGTGGGCTTCTCCCAAGGTTTACTCAGCCTCAAATGAGTACGCTACCCAGTGCGATGTGTAAACATCGCCACTCGGTAGACAAAGACGGCCGGGCGTGATCCTGGCCACCCACCCCCTCGTGTGCTATGCCGTGCCGGCCATCATAGGTGCTGCGCCGTGCCGGCCATTATAGGTGCTGCTTGCCCCAACAGTCTGTTACAGGCTAGTCGGGGGATCTTTGTCTTTGTCTAAACAGGGCGGCTGCGGCTCTTGCTGGGCGTTCAGCACCACAGGCTCTCTCGAGGGGCAGCACAAGCGCAAGACTGGAGTGCTCGTGTCGCTGAGCGAGCAGAACTTGGTGGACTGTTCCAGGCCCCAGGGCAATTTCGGCTGTAATGGAGGATTCATGAACAACGCGTTCATCTACATCAAGCAGAACGGAGGCATCGACTCGGACGCGTCGTATCCCTACGTGGCACAGGTGAGGGAGTTAGGGAATTGGAGGCTGTGACCGCAGGTAGTGCTGGATACAGCCACTCTTGCAAATGTGATTTGTAACTTTGACCTCCCTTGCCAGTATCACAATATAAGAATAGGTTTTACCCTTTCTGGCAATAAAACAGTTGTGTTAACATGTTAAAACACCAAACAGAAACATTTTACAAGGAATCATGTCTGCATTAGCCACATGTACTTGTGGTGCAATTTAAATGTTTTGTATTGGTTGCGTCCAATTCGGAAAATACAGTGTGTGCTTTCTACATTGTTTATGATTATTTTCTTAGTAATTATTTCTGGTTATATTACATAAATGAATGGCATTATTGATGGTGATGTGTTCGTGGTGTGGGTCACGTGTTTTACGTGTCGTACAGGACCAGCCGTGCAGGTACAAGCCCCAGTACAAGGCCGCGGTGGTCACCGGCTTCGTGAACATTCCCAGCGGGAACGAGTTGGCCCTCAAGAACGCCGTGGCTTCTGTCGGCCCGGTGTCCGTCGCCATCGACGCCACACTGCCATCTTTTCAGTTCTACAGATTCGGTGAGCCATCGTTAAAATTGAGATCAGCCCACTATATGACACTGCTCAACTCAAAACTACACTATTTTTTTTATTTTACCTGGTAAGGCCTCACTGAGCTATATAGCTCTTTTTCATAAGCCACCTGGCCACAAATGATAGCTCAACGAAGTGGCTTATCACGTGGAAATGTATAGAACCAAATACTTGAAGCGCGTGTTGATTCTAAATGTGAAGGGAAAACCCGTAGGCCCCAGAGAAAAATCCATGCCACCACAAGGAGAACATGCAAATTTCGATTTAAAGCTTTCGTGACTGCAGGGATTCATCTTCTTGGTTCTTTCGGTAAAGTCACGTAGTAGGGAAGTAATAAAATAATAAAAATAAAACATAATAAAATAATTCTCACGACGTTTCGGCCACAACGCAAGCAGCCGTTGTGGCCGAAACGTCGTGAGAATTATTTTATTATGTTTTATTTTTATTATTTTATTACTTCCCTTCTACGTGACTTTACCGAAAGAACCAAGAAGAAGAACATGCAAACTTAAATTATACAGGCATCAGGGTCGGGTTCAAACCCATGATCTCCTGTTTACCAGGAGAGGCAGTTAACATCTCGCCACTATGGCGACGGTGGCGAAATGTTAGAAATTGGACACCCTGAGCCAGAAATGGAAATGTCACATTCCTATGGTGAGGAACAATCTCTCTTTCTATGTTGTTGACGTTTCACAGTGCTTCTCATTTTATTGACCCTATACGAGAGGTCAACACCAGGATTTATTTATTTTTTTATACCCAGGAAAGCCTCACTGAGTCTCAATTCTCTTTTTTCACGAGGGTCCTGCTCAGTTTTGCAGCGGTGAGCGATGATGCAATGTGGGTTTTTTTCCCCGAATTGAACAATCTGCGGGTGATTTTTTTTTTAAACATCGTCAAACATTTTACCGTTCCAGAAGGATGTGTCTTCTCTCGGTAACACTCCAGTAACCCTACAGTGCAATTGAAATTAGTCTAATGAGACAAGGCCCACGAACATTAAAATGTGAAAAATCACGCGCATAGGCAGAATTTCACTTATATATTTGGGGGGGGGGGCAGGGGTTTGCTTTGTCTCTCACATTAGAAATCGCGGATGCATATAATTAATTATGTTTCAATCTTTTATGTAAACTACCGAAATAAATTAATTAAGGTGTCCAGTTTGGGGAGGGGCATTGCCCCCCCCCCCCCGTGTCCCCCCTGCCGCGAACTCCGCCCATGGTTCCGTGGGTAATATTGTAGGTGGCAGTGCCCTGGCATCGATGCTTCTGCGGTTGGCGTATTGTGCGTTTACCCCGTGACTCGCAGGCATCTACAAGGACACTTCCTGCACCCAGAGTCTTAACCACGCCGTGCTGGTGGTGGGCTTCGGCGTGGATCAGTTTGGAACTAAATTCTGGCTCGTCAAGAACAGGTGCGTGCCTGCAAGGACTCGGCTACGCTCAATAAGCGAGAGCAATTTGTCTCAAATTAGAAACTCAACACAAAAAAAAGTAAATTTCGATTTAAAGCTTTCATGACTGCAGGGATTCATCTTCTTGGTTCTTTCGGTAAAGTCTACTTGACGGACCTGTTCTCCACCTGAAGACGGCTGCTTGCGTTGTGGCCGAAACGTCGTGAGAATTATTTTATTATGTTTTATTTTTATCATTTTATTACTTCCCTTCTACGTGACTTTACCGAAAGAACCAAGAAGAAAAAAAAGTAACCCTTAAAAACAAAGTTTTTCACTATAAATCCTTTATATGCATGGCGGCTAGAGTCCTCTCGTCCTCTGGCTTGAGATGGCTGCCACCTATGGGTCAGATGATTGCCTGCCACCATTAAGCAATTGGTAATTAAATATAAAAGAAAATTTCCTAAAATGTTGAAAATTTTGGAAAAAAAAATTCACGAAAATAAATTGTCACGCACAACGAGTCTGTGTGCAAAATGTCAGCTCGATTGGATCACGGGAAGTGGGTTAAAAAACGACCGAAAGATTTGCACGGTCGTAAGCGCGCAAGCAAGTCAACTTAATATAAAGGATTTTTAAAAAACTAGCGGTGGCCCTGAGCCCAAGTAGGAGAAATTCCACATTTCTATGACAAGGGTCAACACATCTTCGGATTGTAAGCCAAGCTCTCTCACCACGGTTTTCCTTGGGGCAATGGTTAATTGCAGGCAACACTTAAAAAAACGCAAGGATATGGGCTTAATTAAAGATATGGATATGGGCTTCATCACAAGTTTGAGCCAGGTTAAGTTTAACGCAAATCATCAAACGGCATGAGTCTCTATTCCGATAAATAATAAAAAATGCAGACTCAAGTGGTTTAAGGGGCCAATAAACACATTGACAATGATCCATAAGTATGTGATCAATAAACACGTGATCAATAAATATCATATATTGGCAATGATCAATAACCAAATGGTCAATATATATTGGCAAGTAACATTCCAATATGCCCAAAGAAGAACATTTTCACGCGTGTGCACTGCCGCGCTGTGCCGCTATCGTTGTGACACACGGCCGTTGACGAAACGTGCAGAAGAAAAAGTTAAAAGTGTGTGCCTTGTGTGTGTCTGTGTGTGTGCCTTGTGTGTGTCTGTGTGTGTCTGTGTGTGCCTTGTGTGTGTCTGTGTGTGTGTGTGTCTGTGTGTGTGCCTTGTGTGTGCCTTGTGTGTGTCTGTGTGTGTGCCTTGTGTGTGTCTGTGTGTGTCTGTGTGTGCCTTGTGTGTGTCTGTGTGTGTGTGTGTCTGTGTGTGTGTCTGTGTGTGTGCCTTGTGTGTGTCTGTGTGTGTGCCTTGTGTGTGTCTGTGTGTGTGCCTTGTGTGTGTCTGTGTGTGTGCCTTGTGTGTGTCTGTGTGTGTCTGTGTGTGCCTTGTGTGTGTCTGTGTGTGTGTCTGTGTGTGTGCCTTGTGTGTGCCTTGTGTGTGTCTGTGTGTGTGCCTTGTGTGTGTCTGTGTGTGTGCCTTGTGTGTGTCTGTGTGTGTGCCTTGTGTGTGTCTGTGTGTGTCTGTGTGTGCCTTGTGTGTGTCTGTGTGTGTGTCTGTGTGTGTGCCTTGTGTGTGCCTTGTGTGTGTCTGTGTGTGTGCCTTGTGTGTGTCTGTGTGTGTGCCTTGTGTGTATCTGTGTGTGTGCCTTGTGTGTGTCTGTGTGTGTGCCTTGTGTGTGTCTGTATGTGTGTCTGTGTGTGTCTGTGTGTGTGCCTTGTGTGTGTCTGTGTCTGTGTGTGTGCCTTGTGTGTGTCTGTGTGTGTGTGTGTGCCTTGTGTCTGTGTGTGTGTCTCACAGCTGGGGGAGTGGCTGGGGAGAGGGTGGCTACGTGCGCATGGCTCGAGATTTCAACAACCTCTGTGGAATTGCCTCTTTGGCCAGCTTCCCGCTGGTGTAACAACAACCGGCGATGTGACAACTGCGCCGTGTGTGACAGAGAGCGCGCGAGCGAGCCAGGGTCTATTTACAACCTTCCTCCTGCCGCCGCTGACTCCATGGGCCAGAAGTGCTTCACAAATATTTCATTTAACTGGGATCACGAATCGTTAACTATCAACGTGAGTAAATAATTGAATCACGATTCATTCATTTTTTAAGGGTGTGTGACGTTTTTTTAAAACTGTGCAGAGTCGCGATCGGTGAGCGTTACGGCTGCACTCCGCTGGCAACGTTTAGCAAATCGTGCGTTACATTCCCGCTACTAACTCGCTGTTTGCCCCTTTTGCGGTCGACGGAAAACAATATGGCAAGGAGGGCGATTTAGGAGAAAGCTGCAGGCGAAGTCACACGCCCGAATATAATTTCAATATGAATTTTGAATGATTATGAATCGTTGCAAGCTTTGCGATAAGCACCTGATTTCCCTACCTCAATACAAATAATTGTGGTGACCTTTCATCTTCTTGGTTCTTTCGGTAAAGTCACGTAGAAGGGAAGTAATAAAATAATAAAAATAAAACATAATAAAATTATTCTCACGACGTTTCGGCCACAACGCAAGTAGCCGTCCTCAGGTGAAAACCAGGTCCGTCGAGGCGACAGAGTCTGAATGAAACAGCACACGAGCTTGGAGCATATATATAAGCTGGGTGCCTTGACAAAGGAATTTGCATATCAAGAGGAATATAGCATATTTATGGGAAATGCAAGAATGTGATTAGTACTACATATGCATGTGCATTATGCAGGATTAACAGCATCAAAGGGAGCTGCAGTTGCTGCTGCTGCTGCTGCAGTTGCTGCTGCTGCAGTTGCTGCTGCTGCAGTTGCTGCTGCTGCAGTTGCTGCTGCTGCAGTTGCTGCTGCTGCTGCTGCAGTTGCTGCTGCTGCTTCTGCAGTTGCTGCTGCTGCAGTTGCTGATGCTGCTGCAGTTGCTGCTGCTGCTGCTGCAGTGACCTTATTAGCGCTGTATTCATTCGTATAATTTTTTAAATCACTGCTTTTAAAAAAAACATTTTACGGTGTGTGCTCGAAATACCTCGATAATTCAGGAGCAACATGAACAAAATTCCATGGAATTCAACGACGACCCAAAGTTTACCACATTTACAAATATCAACGTTCCATTTTTTAAATCAATATTGTTACTTTTACATCATTAAAATAACAAAAAACAATAGGAAAGGTACAAAATCATGGCTGAAAACCTTCCCGTAAACTGATGAGTGCCAAATTTTTGAAGTCGCGATCTCGAACGCCAGACACGACGTTGGATTGATTCGAAGCTTTCGTGACAGCAGGAATCCATACTCTTTGGTTCTTTCGGTAAAGTCACGTAGGTAGAAAATAAAATAAATCACGACGTTTCGATCGCAACACAAGCCGTCGGTCGTCAGGCGGAAAAAATGTAATCCAGCAGTGGAACAGCTGGTTAATAACGTCCTTCCAATGATTGCTCAATTTGTACCCATCTTCTCGGTTGAAGTTGTGTCTGTGTTTATTATATATCTGGATGGCTTCATGAACAAATATCTGAAGGTAGCCGGTAGGTTTGCAGAAGTACCTCCGTCTTGGAAAAATCAATACCTCTGCCGTTGCCGATCATTGTTTTAACGCTGTGGGCTCACACGACATAGACGTGACTTTACCGAAAGAAGCAAAGAGTTCGACGGTGGATGCCGTCCTCCCGGCGCTGCGTCGGCGTGCAAACGCGGCTCACGACCACTCGGCAATGGACATCTGTGGTGCGAATAGAGCTTTCTGGCGCATCGAATTCCCCCATCCAGTATGAATAAAACATTCCGATTCTGATTGGCTCTGCTCTTTGTGAAATTTCTGAGCTTCGGTTAAAAAAAAAAAACACGAGGACCTCCCTGCCAAGTAAAAGCCGGTGATATTTGGGACGTTGCATATCCATGAACGTTGCTTAGAGGACGCTGGATCCAATCGTGTTCGGATTCAAAGACCGCGTGTTGTGACGTACGGCCGATGTTTTGCGGTCATTTTCTCCTCTCGAAAATTGTTACGTGCGCAATTGTAAATGCTTCGTCACGTGATGAGTCGGTGCTGTGTTGATCGGCACTTGAGAAATGTGAACTTTTGACGACTTCTCTCTTTCTTCATAAAGATTTTCAACCCCATGCCTGTATTTTGCGTGACATTTTCTGACCCCGATCGAGGCTGCAACAAAACGGCATCGAAGTTTCCCGACCGCACCATCATCCATCCACTGCCCAAGCGTGTCATTCTTTATTTGAAGCTTTCGTGACTGCAGGAATCCATACTCTTTGATTCTTGCGGTAAAGTCACGTAGGTAGAAATAAAATACTGTAAAACAAATCACGACGTTTCGATCGCAACACAAGCGGTCGTCATTAGGCGACCGTGATTTGTTTAAATGTATTTTATTTCTAACTACGTGACTTTACCGAAAGCACCAAAGAGTACGTGTCATTCTGTTTCTTGAAGACTTCAATGTGAGCCCAGTCAGAGTCCCGTTCACACCTTGTGTTCACCCCGACTTTATATTATTGTACCCCCCCCCCCCACCAACTTAATCTTGATTGTTGCTACTGGCACCGTGCCGTGAGACGGAGGAATCCATTTGGACTGCTCACTGAGCATGGCAACCCTTCGTAGAGGGCATTAATTCTAGATTTGAAGGTTTTGTGACTGCAAGGATTCATATTATTAGGTTTTTTTGGTAAAGTCACGTAGGTAAAAAATTTTAATTAATACAGCTGTCGTGGCTGTGACGGTTCCACCTGAAGACGGAAGCTTGTGTTGCCTCCGAAACGTCGTGATTTTTATTTTATTTTACTTTTATTAATTTTAATTTTTTACCTACGTGACTTTACCGAAAAAACCTAAGAATATCAACCCTTCGTGTTAGAAAACTGCCCCTGGAAGCCGATACCACAGAGCTACCTCTGAGATTAGAGGCCGATCGAAACTGAATTTCTGGTTTCGGCCGAAACCGAATTTCTGGTTTCGGCCGAAACCGAAAGTTACAAATTAAATTTCGGCCAAAACCGAAAGTAAAAAATTTACTTTCGGCCGAAGCCGATTTTCGGTCGGCCTCTATCTGAGATGTCGTAAAGTATCCCTGGGTTCCACACAGCAGCAATTTCCCCACTCGCTTGGCCAACTTGGAGTAGCGTTCCAATGTTGGTTTTAGTCAAATTAAGTTCAGAACTCAAATTGAACCTGACGGTGTTGCTGTGTGCGAGTCATTGTGAGATCATCAACTCGGCACACTTGCGAGCCCGGTTTAGTCACCGGCGGATGCCTGGATTTGAACATAGGATCTCATTGGTGACGGCTCATCGCTCTGACATCTTGAGCCGCCTCTGCAACTCACGGTCAACCATTGGAACATTGAAGCGAGTGACCGAGAAATTACCCATCTCGGCATTGAATGCCTTTCCCTGACAACACCGCTCGGCGTCTTTAGGTAAAAAAAAAACAAATCAAATGCCCTCGTTCACGAAAGCGGCCACGGGCTGCTGGCTCGGGTTTTCCCAGCCACGTTCCAAGTGCTGAGATTCGCCCCACGCAACCGCTTGAGGCTTGAGGCTCGCATCAAATCCTGGGCACTGGGCACCCAGAGAGTGCCGCTCCTCGCCCAGTGTTGTGTGTCGCGCTCTCGGTGTTGTATCAGCGGCGTTCTTTGCTTGCTTGCTTGTCGATCACCCGCGTCTAACCGTGTACGCAGTGGCCCAGCTATTGAGTGCGCAGGCGGTGCAACTGCGCCGGCGGGGGAGGAGGGGGGGTCCTCATGGTCTGGAGGGGCACAGGGAGGACATTTGGACAGCGAGGTGGGGGTCCAAGGTCATTACTTGTGTAGAGGTGTTACGGGAGGGCAAACAAACACACAAGGGGTGGTTGTGCCCGCACGCGTAAGGGTACCTACATCCACGTCCGCAACGGTTAGCCCTGGGGGGCTGTAACGGCGCTGTGATCCCCCACGGCCCCACCCCTCGGGGGGGAGTTGCTATATAAGGCGGGGAGCCGGTGGGCTCGGGATTCTTGTATTACAGCTTATCCAGTGAAGAGTGAAGACCGGCAGGATAGACCCTGCGACTCCCCTGGCTGGCTGTCCCTCTAAGGACCGACCAGGGCAAGCCAGTGGCGTGGCCCCGAGAGTCCAGAGCCGATGTTCTTGTAAGAGCCGGTCTGGTTGGCTAAGGGTGCCGTGATCTCAGCTTGGCCAGAGCTGGATCAGCTAGCCTCCCCTAGCTCTGTAGTGGAGGACCTGGGAGTAGGCTAGCCGGGATAGAGATAGCGGGGTCTCCCTGTTAGACGGGTGAAAGGGCCGTTACCCCTTCAAGTGTTGTATACATTGCCCTGTGTCGAGTGTAAAGTTGTAATAAATAAGTGTGCCTCCGACTACGTCGTCTACGTCTCCTTGAACTCACTACACTTGCACCAGGGCACAGTCGAACCGCGTATTGCGACTGCTGCAAGGCAATGGTTCATTTCACACGGCACATTAGCTGCACCCACATAAATGGAGTTCCACTGTATTCGTTTTAGAACGATAGATCGGCACACAACGAGTGCTTTTGTAAGAGCGTGGCCACATTCTGTTTGGCACACGTATAGCAGCAGCTTGTTGAATAATTCTGATATCTACTAAGAAAACCGCTCACTCATGGAATGTTCTCCAAAATGAGTACAGCAGTAGTCTCAATTCCCGCCACACACATCAATATTATCATTGTCGTGCTTATACATGAGTTTAGATGTTTGCGTGCTTCCATTCAATGACTTCAAAGCGTGAATTAGCAGCAGCCTTCAGAAAAAAATACTTCATAAATGGATCCACGTCTTGGTAAACTGACGTGTTTGTAGCCCTTAGCACCTTTCCCTGATATATTTTTGTAACGTGCGTTTCTGAAATGATGTACACACAGCCGCGGCGTGACGTCTGCTCAGACTCACTGCAAGTGTGCGTCAATAAACGATTTATGTATTAGAATTATAATTGATTTGAAGCTTTCGTGACTGCAGGAATCCATACTCTTTGGTTCTTTCGGCAAAATCACGTAGGTAGAAAACAAAATAAATCACGACGTTTCGGGCGCAACACAAGCGTCCGTCATCAGGTGGGAAAGCCATGGTCTGCTGCTGATGCAGACTGTTTTAAAAGGTTTGAAATGGGTGTCGCCCAAGGGTCATAAAGACCAAGCTTTCCCACCTGATGCTGGGCGCTGGTGTTGCGCCCGAAACGTCATGACTTTTATTTTATACCTACGTGACTTTACCGAAAGAACCAAAGAGTATAGAATTATAATAGTTATTTTTTAGTTTTATGGTAGAAATTCATTTTGGAACCAAGCACTCCACTGAAATTAGTTAATTACGGGAGAATTCCTCTTATTCGCACGCCTGTTATATGCGACTCTTGCTATCCGTGTCGAGATTTTATTTTAAAAAAACAATACTCATATCGGGTGAGGAGTCCGGTAATTCGGGCGAGCCTCAGAGTGGAACCGCTGCTGCTCATCCTGATCGAGAGGAGCCGGTCGAAGTGGTTCGGACACCCGGTAAGGATGACCCCCCGGGAGACTAACCCCTTGAACTCTACCGGGCATCAGCACGGCGTCATTACGTGTGTGTGTGAGTACTAAATTCACTTGCAATGTTTACTCTTCTTATACTACTTCATATCTGTCATTCCATACGGTTTACCCCGTATTCATGTACAGGCAATTACATTTTCAGGTCCTTGTTTGTGTTTCTCCCTTGTGATGGGACTTTGTAGGATGAACGTTGAGATTTATAAGGGACACGGGGTGACCAATAAGGTCTGACTTGGTCTGTAATAAGGCAGGGCACTTTCGATGTAAAGCTTTCGTGACTGCAGGGATTCATCTTCTGGGTTCTTTCGGTAAAGTCACGTAGAATGGAAATAACCAAGAAGAAGGCAGGGCACTGATAAGGGGTTGACAGGTATGTTATTTACGCACACACGTGTGTGTGTGAGAGTGAGTGTGACTCAACCCTGAATCGAGTACCTGGTGCGGTGTATAAACATCGCCACTTGGGAGACAAAGGCGACCGGGCGTGGTGCTGTCCACCCACCCCCTCGTGTGCCGTGGCGGGCTTCATAGGGGCGCTAGCTAACAGCAGCAATTTCCCCAAAAAAGCATGCGGAGGCTATACGGTGGATGGGTGGTTGGGGAGATGTCTTAGCCTTTGTGTTGTGTTAAGATTTCCCCAGTCACGAGGGAGAGGAGGAGGAGGCAGACCCCAGTCACGCGCAGGCGACGAGCGGCGCGTGACGACAGCCACCATCATCTCATCATCGCGAAGGATCTTGAGACATCGCGGCCGTCAATCAACAGTCTTCGTCGGCTCTTCGGCCGCAAGGTGACCTCCTCGCTTTCGCAACAGGCCGGAAAGTTTGTCGTGTATTTTGTTGTTGTTGTTGTTGTTTGTTCAAACTACGGTAGTTCTGGCTACACAAACTCACGATTTCCGTTGGGTTGGAACATTACGGGTCAAAGCAAAATATAAAAGCATAACTCCACCATGCTGTGTGTTCCCAAAGTCTAAATATGTTTTTTTATTCCATCAGCCTCTTCGCTTTCCAGACCTATATTATCAAGCCGAATTTTTTACTAAAGCAAGAAAAAAACAATGGACCGTTTGTTTTATGTTCTGGATCTCATCGACAGACTCTGGCTTGTTAATCAGAGTGCTGTCAAATTAGCGATGATAATAGGTGTTTCCGCTTTTTTTGCAACAAAACAGCTGTGTTAAGATGTTAAAACACCAAACTGAAACCTTTTACAAGGAATCATGTCTGCATTTACTGAAACCTTTTATAAGGAATCATGTCTGCATTAACCACAATGCTTGTGGTCAGAATGCAAAAAAAAAAATACTCTGATAGTATATCATGCATTGTTCTTGAAACTGATTGGTCCACACCACAGACAGCTTTCTTTTGAGCCTCGTCTCAAACGGTGTTAGACCAGAGGACGCCAAAAGGCGTACAGCCCAAAGACAATGCCACTATCAGAGTAATGAGAGCTCGGGGTGAGCAGCTAAATCATGGGACCTCCTTTGTTAGTACCAAAATATGATAATAGGGTTTTCCCGTTTTATTGGCAACAAAAAAAGGGAAAAAGCTTAGCAGATGTTATGAACAATATGGGTGTCTCATATTTTACTTTGGGTACGTGGTTTTACATGTTCCCGCCATATGGCCGCTGCTGCTGCCACTCCCAGCCGGTCCTGAGTCGGAGAGAAAAGAAGACGAAGATGAAGCTGCTGCTCGTCACTCTGCTGGGGGTCATGGTGGTGGTCTCCGTGGCCGTGGCCTCGCCTTTCCTCGACCCGGAGCTGTCGCCCGAGTGGGAGTCCTGGAAGGAGTTCCACGGCAAGACCTACGGCGAGGTCGGTCGCGACCACAACGCATCGCCATGTGCTCGCACCGCACGAGCGTCGTAGAGCGTTGTAGAGCGGTTCCTTGTTCAGAGATGTCCACGTTGTAGAGCGTTGTAGAGCAGCTCCTTGTTCAGAAATGCCCACGTTGTAGAGCGTTGTAGAGCAGCTCCTTGTTCAGAGATGTTCACTTTGTAGAGCGTTGTAGAGGGGCTCCTTGTTCAGAAATGCCCACGTTGTAGAGCGTTGTAGTGTAGATTCTTGTTCAGAGATGTTCACGTTGTAGAGCGTTGTAGAGCGGCTCCTTGTTCAGAGATGTCCACGTTGTGGAGCGTTGTAGAGGGGCTCCTTGTTCAGAGATGTTCACATTGTAGAGCGTTGTAGAGCAGCTCCTTGTTCAGAGATGCCCACGTTGTAGAGCGTTGTAGTGTAGATTCTTGTTCAGAGATGTTCACGTTGTAGAGCGTTGTAGAGCGGCTCCTTGTTCAGAGATGTCCACGTTGTGGAGCGTTGTAGAGGGGCTCCTTGTTCAGAGATGTCCACGTTGTGGAGCGTTGTAGAGCAGCTCCTTGTTCAGAGATGCCCACGTTGTAGAGCGTTGTAGAGCAGCTCCTTGTTCAGAGATGTTCACGTTGTAGAGCGTTGTAGAGCAGCTTCTTGTTCAGAGACGTCCACGTTGTAGAACATTGTAGAGGGGCTCCTTGTTCAGAGATGTCCACGTTGTGGAGCGTTGTAGAGCAGCTCCTTGTTCAGAGATGCCCACGTTGTAGAGCGTTGTAGAGCAGCTTCTTGTTCAGAGACGTCCACGTTGTAGAACATTGTAGAGGGGCTCCTTGTTCAGAGATGTCCATGTTGTGGAGCGTTGTAGAGCGACTCCTTGTTCAGAGATGCCCACGGAGATGAGCACGGTACCTCAGCGCATCGTTTGAGCGAGCAGATGTGGCAGGGTTGCTACGCAGAGGTCGGTCGGTTAGTGGGTCGTGTACAAATCGCCACTGCTGCTTCCTCAACACTGGCAAAAGAGTGAAGTGGTGCCCCAGGGATGGTGGCAGCCGTGGGCACTCATGGCCATTGGGCACTCATGGTCAGTGGGCACTCATGGCCAGTCTCTCCATGAGTGCTTCCCCCGCTCCTCCAATCAGCGTGGTTGGCTACGTACGATGCGAAAGAAGTTCAACATGCATGAGACAGCCGAATTTGGAAACGCTCGCAAAAGTGGTGTTAATTTCATGGACCCACACACATAGCTGTCAACCCATACGGTTTTACCCCATGTTCTTGTACAGAGAAATTGAGTTTTCAGGTCCATACGGCGTACAGCCATTTCAATAAAGGCAAAACATTAAAAATGTTGTCCATTTGTTTGTGTTTCCCCCTTGTGATGGGACTTTGTAGGATGAACGTTGAGATGTATAAGGGGCACGGGGTGACCAATAAGGTCTGAATTGGTCTGTAATAAGGTAGGGCACTGATAAGGGGTTCACAGGTATGCACACAGATGTTAACCTTAGTTAATCTCCCAAACCAAAATTGAAGTTTATTAAAGCTACTGACAGCAAGTCGGCAGGCAACCTTGTTGCCAGGTGTTCCTACTTCATAGCCACTCAATATGGTCGATTCGTTCCCGGTTGAGAGTTGCCGAACACCTGAACACGGTGCTGGTTGCTATTGCATTGCATCCCTTAATGCGTCTCTCTGCCTGCTGTGCTGCAGGAGGAGGAGGGCTGGAGGAGGATGATTTGGGAGAAGAACCTCAAGAGGATCTCCATGCACAACCTGGAGCACTCCATGGGCAAGCACACCTGGCGCATGGGCATGAACCAATTCAGTGACATGGTGAGCCAGGACATCACATATCTCCTCTACGCTTGGCTCTCACGAGATTAAAAACTACCACATAGGACATCGGATGTGGCTCTGTGGGGAGATGGTGAGCCAGACGTTTCCTCCTTCCCTATGCCTTCCTCATTTCCATGAGAATGGATTTGGCTCGTATAAGCTCGTACAGATTGTGTTAAACCACTAAGACCAACACGCGCAGATATGATGGGTTCAAATTCAGGCGGGCATCCACCCACTTAAAAGAGATTCATGGGTGTAGAGATGTAATTATCTCGGTCCGGTTAGCAAAGAATCAAAATTTAAGTTCAGTGGTCATTTAGGCCAATGTCAGTGCTGCCATCTTGCCTCACCATTATAATTCTAATGGCCTCCTCAGACCCTTGTAAAGTGATCACAAAACACTCGTCAATTAATACCTGAGAAACCTCACTTGCAGCGAGAGGAACGATGGTCCGATCTCTGACCCCACGTGACCAGGGATGCAGACTTGCTGATAATTTTTGTGAATACTTGGAGGAGGAGGAGGAGGAAGCGAGAGAAGGACCCTCTCAGACCAAACAAAACAAGGGGGCAAAGCAATGTCGGAATGCCCATTGTTATTTTTGAAATTAAAGTTCCGCTCATTTGCGCGCACAAAGACGCGGTGGCTTGAAATGTGCCTTGATCTGACACGGAGGTTGAAGCGATGGAGGGTTTGCGTTCCTTGCGAATGCTCGTCCCACGCAGACAACTGAGGAGTTCCGACAGCTGATGCTGGGCTTCAGAGGCTGGAACGGCACCGGCAAGGACTCCCACGGCTCCGTGTTCATGGCACCCGCCGCCTTCTTTGAAGCCCCTGAGAGCGTGGACTGGAGGGAACAGGGCTACGTCACTGATGTCAAAAACCAGGTGAAGATCGGCAGGTCATCATTGGCCCTCAGCACGGTTGGCTACGTACGATGCGAAAGAAGTTCAACATACATACATACATGCAGTTTAACACGTAGGCTTTCGCGGTCAATACTATCCATAATTCGACCACGAAATGTCGTTCTCGAATTATAAATGTTGTGGGTTTACTCTCCAACACACCGGTGTGCTGAAATAGTAATGAACTGACCATGTTTTGTTTACATGACAAAACTTACTAAGTGTCAAGTGGTGGCGGGTTTAACGGCACATTTATATTTACGCGATCTATCCCAAAACACTGCTATTATGGATAATACATACATACAGTGAGATTAATGTCACCATATCTTAGTATCGCTTCCTTTCTACCGGGAGTTGTGAGCTGTTGCAAAGTTGACACCTGACCCGCAATGAATTGCTCTTGCAAATGTCTCACCTTTGGACTGTAGGTCTTCCTCTTTATCACTGACATCTGGGTACCACTCCATTACCTGTCTCAGTCACCTGGCCCTCTCCTTCCTGCGCACCTGTTCCATCTACCACATCCTCCTCTCCCTGATTTGGTCAACAACACTGTCTTGCCACGTTCCATTTTGAATTTTCAAATCTTTCACCCGATCCTGCCATGACATTCCTTGCATCCTCTGCAAACACACGCATTCGGAGGCCACGGGGGACTAATTCAAACGTGTCCATGCCGTGGTGTCAGCGTGTTTATTCGTCCTTTCTGGCTCTCTTACCCTTCTGCTGACAAAAGTTACGACTGAACATTTATTTTCTGGGATGTGGCTCCAATCTTAAATTGAGCGACGTCTCTGCGCGCGTCTCTCTCTCTCTCTGTTCCGCAGGGCAGTGGTGCGGGGAGCGGTTAGCGTAGCGGCTAGCGTAGCGGCTAGCACGCTGCACTACGAACCCAGCGCAGTCGAAGGCCAAGGGGAGACTCATTCACACGCATCGCTTGCCACGGCATGTCAGCGCGTTTGGCCGTCCGTTCCGTCTCTCCTACCCTTCCGCTGACAAATGAGCTTTCCTTGGCGTGATGCGGCTCCGCCAATGTCCCGTTGAGCGTCGTCTCGTGGTCTCTGCTCCGCTCCGCAGGGCGACTGCGGCTCTTGCTGGGCGTTCAGCGCCACGGGCTCCCTCGAGGGGCAGCAAAAGCGCAAGACTGGAGTGCTCGTGTCGCTGAGCGAGCAGAACCTGGTGGACTGCTCGTGGCCCCAGGGCAACCAAGGCTGCGGGGGAGGATTCATGGACAATGCGTTCCAGTACATCGTGAGCAATGGGGGCATCGACTCGGAGGACTCGTACCCATACGTGGCGCAGGTGAGGCAGTCGAGGGTTGCGGCCGCAAAACTTGAATCGCGATCGCTCAATTTGGGGATTGTGCAGCAGCAGCGGTGGCGGGAATCATTGCCACCGCCCCGACTGGCAGACGAATGCCCGCTCACAGGCCAGCCACTCCTAGTCACCTCGTGGCGCGCAGGGGCAGCTGCCACTGGCGGCGCCCTTCAGAAATTGTGTTGAGATGAGAAGTGCTGCGAGAGATGGTGTCAAAGGAGGGCGACTCTTGTCAAAGATGAACCCTCACTGTGAACGTGTCGTTGTCTACCCCATTGTAATTCATAATGAAGGTTTTTTTTGTTGGGTTAGAGCGTGTTCATGGAAATGTGTCGTTAATCCACCATAACCCGACAGTGAGGTGTTCACGTAAACGAAACGTGCCAATTAGTTACTACACATGAATAATTACGCGACCTAACTAAAAAAACCTATTTATTATTAATATAATATTGTATGCGAAGGCCTGCATGTTAAATTGACTAACCACATAATAAGTCAGTGTTTGGGTTTATTGTCAAAAAATGATGTGATCTATTGTCCCAACTAGAGGTAAGCATGATTTCCTATCAGATTTCACGCGGTGTTGTTCGGAGTTACATTCCCTCGACTGTTCGGACAGCTGCTGATAAACCTATCTGTATTCCACAGTCAAGCGCCTCTTATCCACAACCCTCATATCTGTGGATCCAATCATAACACTTAAGATCAATCTGATTTGATTCATCGTGGTGTTTCACATCGAACCGGTGACTACTTGTATACAACGCTTTCAGAGCGCTGACCTTGTGGTAGGTGTTGTGAATGCAATAAAATTTTTTTTACAAATAGCATTGGTTGCCATAAAAAAACATACCCTTAGCTCAGGGGTGGGGAACGTCCGACCCGCTGGCTGTATAAGGCCCACAAAATCATTTGGTGTGGCCCTGCCAAGGCAACCGCAGGCGGGACTCGAAATTCAAAATATCTAGGAGCAAACCTGAAAAAGCAGTTGCGAGTAGCAGCAACATCAATACCAGCTAACATCACACGCCTCACCAAAGAGAAGCAGTTCCAGCCATCGCATTCGGGGTGAGTTAATCAAATGTTTGACCAAATATAACTGGCAAATTTGAAAGTTGATTTATTTTGTTTGACCCGAGAAATTATGTTATAAATATCCAAATGGCCCTTGGCAGAAAAAAGGTTCCCCACCCCTGCCTTAGCTGAACACAGAATATGAAATGTAATTATGTAAACCACCTGTGTTAGTAGCTGAAACATGCAGTATGTATTAACATATAAAATGTTGTGTTTTTTATCTAAAGTATGGTAAGTCCTCGCTTAACATGTGGCGGTGTTCACACTGCAACGCGTTTTCGCTATAACGCGGTTCTGCCACGTGTGCACCAATATAACGCGGAATTCGCCACCTGTTACAACGTGAAACGTGCACCGTTATAACGCGGTTTCTCAGCGGTCGACGCTGAACTACTTTCTTGAACTGCGTGGCTCAGCAATACGATACTGTATACGGAATGATACAGTAACGCGGCGGCATACCCACACAGTTATTTACCCCGCCATCTCGCTGTGTCTGCGCACATTGTACCTCGCCAAACTTTGTCATCGCTACACTATTCAAGGGGAAATTGTTTTCGGTTTAGGCGTTTGCAGCTTAACGCGGCGCTTTTCAGGAACGCATCTACTTCCACCGCGTTAAACGAGGACTTGCCGTCGTGAGGGTTTTTTCTCAGAGCTGGCTCGAGTTCGGCGCTTTGAGCCACGGCTCACGTGAGACAGAGCCGGGTCAGAGCCAAGCTCAGAAATATGGGCCGATTAATTGAAGCATCGACGCCGTCGTATTCACGGTTGTGTTGCAATTCCCCAGGGAACACTTGGCAGGAACTGATGCGACGTGCACGTGGATTGACATCGCTACATATAGATCGTTGCTACAATTTAGGTGACGTTTCATTGGTTTTGGGGGTCAAAACTAATGCAGCTACCGCAAGTTAAGAGTTCCGGATGCATCCCATCAGACCACCGAACCATTTGCACGCAATTTCAACCTGGAATATGTTTAGTTCTTGAACAAATCACTTCTAACGTCGCGACGCGTTTTTTATAATTTTTATCTCTCATCGGCATCGATAAATATTCACAATCGTCGGTAATTTTTAAATCCTTTATATTAAGTTCACTTGCTTGCTTGATTGCGCGCTTACGACCGTGCAAATCTTTCGGTCGTTTTTTAACCCACTTCCCGTGATCCAATCGAGCTGACATTTTGCACACAGACTGGTTGTGCGTGACAATTTATTTTCGTGGAAATTTAAAATACCAATGTGATAAAAATGAAACTCTTACTCAAGAAAAACAGAAATGAATAATAAAATAAAACCGATGCCACGCATATAAAGGATTTATAGTGAAAAACTTTGTTTTTACGGGTTAATTTTTTTTCTTCCCCCCTCCCCGCCACTCTATTTTCCGCGCGACTCCAACACCTCCGAGGCTCTCCATGCTCCTCGGTAACCTCCCCGCCCCCCCCCCCCCACCTCCTGATTGTAAATCTCTGTGCTCGCCACAGGACGAGCTGTGCAGCTACGACCCTGAGAGCAATGCCGCCGAGGCCACCGGCTTCGTGGACGTCACCGAGGACGACGAGGAGGCCCTCAAGAACGCCGTGGCCTCCGTGGGTCCGGTGTCGGTCGCCATCGACGCCAGCCTCAACTCCTTCCAGCTCTACCATTCCGGTGAGGAATTGTAAAGTGGCGCGATGGGGCGCCACGGCGGCAAAAGATGTTAGCTACCTCGCCTGGTGTACAGGAGGTTGCGAGTTCGAGCCCTACCCTGACGCCTGCTGTGTGTGTGTCTCTCTCCGGTTTCTCCCTCCGCATTTAGAATGAACATCACGCGTTTTAGAGTATTTGGCTGCTATACATTTCCACACAATAAGCCACTTCACTGAGCTATCAATTGTGGCCAGGTCGCTTCTGAAAAATAGCTACATAGCTCAGTGGGCCTTGCCTGGTAAAATAAAAATTGACAATTGTTCTTTTTACCCTTTTATCTGGCAATAAAACTGACACCTTTTTTTACGAGGAGTCATGTTTGCATAGACCACAATACCTGCAGTCGTGGTCTATGCAAACATGACTCCTCGTAAAAAAGCTGTCAGTTTTGTTGCCAGATAAAAGGGCAAAAAATAATTATCATATTTGTTACTGCAAATGAGGTACCAATGGTGTAAAATAAAAATTGTTTAGTTTAGTTTCAGAAGAGAAAAAGGCCAACCGATATTATAACATGGAAGCACAATTGGGAAATAATATACTGCGGAAATTGGTCGGCAGCGCTGTTGCCATTATGGATGAGCCCTACATTTGTCCGCGTGACCTGCAGGCATCTACAAGGACACGCTGTGCACGAACGAACTGAACCACGCCGTGCTGGTCGTGGGCTACGGCGCGGATGAGCAGGGAGAGAAATTCTGGATCGTGAAGAACAGGTAGCGTCACTACGCAGGGGATGGCCCCCGGGCAGCCGTGAGCAGCGCTTGTAGACTTGAAATGCGAGCGGCGCAGCTTCCGAGGGTGCCGATGGTGAAACCTTTCCAGGCGCGCACGGGGTTGGCGTACGGACCCAGGTGTTGGGCCACAAAGTCGGCGTGGGGGTTGTGGCGGGGAGGGACATTCCCCACGGCCAGTGCCATGTCAGTCTTGATGAGCCGCTGTCAAACACATTCGAGATTTTCTAAAAATACATTTTTAAAGTTGTTCCTCTTTCTAAGCGGTGTTTCGTCGGCTATACGGTGGTGGTGGTTGTTGTGGAAAGAAAAGCTGCCCGATTGTGCAATTTGTCACGGCTCTATCGCAGAAGTTACGAGTCGCAAAACCACCGTTGCAGGTCATTTACCGGCAAACAGCTGTCCATGAATTGCCTCACGAATTTGGATCTGACTTTCGTGAATCGGTTAATTTTCTTCACGGCTATATTTTCATATTGCTTCCTCTCAGCTATCTGAATTAGCTTCTATCTGTCTTAGTTTGCTCCTCCCCTTGGCCTATTCTATTGATATGTTTTGTTATGTACAGTGCCTTGAGACCCCAATGGAAAGGTGCTTTGTGAATGCAATACAGATAGTCCCCGAGTTACGATGGTCCGACTTACGATATTTCGATCTTACGATCGCGATAGCGATACGATCAATGCATGTTAAACGTTTTTATAGCAGAGAGGATTGTTTCCTGAAAAAACTTTATATTAAATTGCAGTTCATATAGGTAGGCAAAACATTAACCTTTTTTTTACATTTTACTGTGCAATACAGTATTGTAATTAATAAATACATACAGTATATAGTTTATACAGTACGGTACTGTAAATTGCTCTGTTTTGCTAAATTATCACCATTCTTTAAGACTCCTGGGTAGGCTAGGCCATCTTCAACTTACGATATTTTTGACTTACGATGGGGTCGTCGTAACGCATCTCCGTCGTAAGTAGAGGACTACCTGTATATTATTACAATATCATTTCACTGGGTATGTTTGTATGAATACTGATGTTGTGCTTGTCAACATGAGCAGAGGTGGTTGGGTGAGTGGTGGCATTAAGAGTTTCTCTTGACTAACCCTCGAGCCTATAACCAGATCACCCAGAAGGCACTCCATCTCCTCAATCTCAGATTTTGAAAGCTAAGCAGGTTTTAATCCGAGAGCGCTCATAAAACGTGCGTTATCTAGGCTGCTGCGGGCATACCTTGTGGAAAACAGATGGCAGTTCAGCAAAAGAATCCATTATTTTATCGTACTTTGCTCCCACACCTGTGACTACCCTCCGCCTTCAGCAACTCACGCTGACCAGCATGGTGAAGTATGGTCACACAACCCTCAGTACATTTCCCATATCCCCTCCCTTTGATGCTGCTAATCCTGCATAATGCACGGGCATACTAATCACATACCTGCATTTCCCATATGCTAAATTCCTCTTGATATGCAAATTCTTTCGTCAAAGCGCCCTTTCCCCCCCTTCCAACCCAGCTTAAATATATGCTCCAAGCACGTGTGCTGTTTCATTCAGACGCTGTCGCCTCGACAGACCTGGTTTTCACCTGAGGACGGCTGCTTGCGTTGTGGCCGAAACGTCGTGAGAATTATTTTGTTATGTTTTATTTTTATTATTTTATTACTTCCCTTCTACGTGACTTTACCGAAAGAACCAAGAAGATGAAACCCTCAGTACCTGTACGGCATGAGGGAGACACCTGTTCAGCAGTGGATTGACAACATAACTGTAGAATACTGTATATATATACAAGTAGACATACAATGGCACTTGTCACATTGGTCTGTAAGCTAAGGTGGGTAACTCGATCCTCATGCTGTCTGTGTGTGTGCCTTGTGTGTGTCTGTGTGTGTGCCTTGTGTGTGTCTGTGTGTGTGCCTTGTGTGTGTCTGTGTGTGTGTGTGTTTCTGTGTGTGTGTGTCTGTGTCGGCCTCAGTGGAGGAGGCTCGTGAAGGACGCTACTGGGCAGTTGGAGGCAGTCGCCCTCCAACAACAACGGAGGGCGGAGGAGCGACGCTCACAACAACGAGCGGAGCGCCGGGTGGCTAAAGCACAGCAAGTTGGCACAGTAGGGGGCACAGGTGGTGCATCAGCCAGTCATCTCGGTCATCTCGGTCAGTCGACCCGTGGCACCTGGGTCTGCCCCGTGACCTCCTGCCAGCGGGCTTTCGACACTTCACGTGGCCTCAAGGTGCACTTGGCCTGGCACAAGCATCGTGGTGACGTCACCGCCACTTAGTGGCGAATGGCGGTTGTTGTTGTTGTTGTGCCTTGTGTGTGTCTGTGTGTGTGTCTGTATGTGTGTATGTGTGTGTGTCTTGTGTGTGTGTCTGTGTGTGTGCCTTGGGTGTGTGTCTGTGTGTGTGTCTGTGTGTGTGTCTGTGTGTGTGCCTTGTGTGTGTGTCTGTGTGTGTGCCTTGTGTGTGTCTGTGTGTGTGCCTTGTGTGTGTCTGTGTGTGCCTTGTGTGTGTCTGTGTGTGTCTGTGTGTGTGCCTTGTGTGTGTCTGTGTGTGTGTGCCTTGTGTGTGCCTTGTGTGTGTCTGTGTGTGTGCCTTGTGTGTGTCTGTGTGTGTGTCTGTGTGTGTGCCTTGTGTGTGTGCCTTGTGTGTGTCTGTGTGTGTGTCTGTGTGTGTGCCTTGTGTCTGTGTGTGTGCCTTGTGTGTGTCTGTGTGTGTGTCTGTGTGTGTGCCTTGTGTCTGTGTGTGTGCCTTGTGTGTGTCAGTGTGTGTGTCTGTGTGTGTGCCTTGTGTCTGTGTGTGTGCCTTTTGTGTGTCTGTGTGTGTGCCTTGTGTGTGTGTCTGTGTGTGTGCCTTTTGTGTGTCTGTGTGTGTGCCTTGTGTGTGTGTCTGTGTGTGTGCCTTGTGTGTGTCTGTGTGTGTGCCTTGTGTGTGCCTGTGTGTGTGTCTGGGTGTGTGCATTGTGTGTGTCTGTGTGTGTGCCTGTGTGTGTCTGTGTGTGTGCCTTGTGTCTGTGTGTGTGCCTTGTGTGTGCCTTGTGTGTGTTTGTGTGTGCGTGTGCCTTGTGTGTGTGTCTTTTGTGTGTCTGTGTGTGTGCCTTGTGTGTGTCTGTGTGTGTGCCTTGTGTGTGTCTGTGCCTTGTGTGTGCCTTGTGTGTGTTTGTGTGTGTGCCTGTGTGTGTCTGTGTGTGTGCCTTGTGTCTGTGTGTGTGCCTTGTGTGTGCCTTGTGTGTGTTTGTGTGTGTGTGTGCCTTGTGTGTGTGTCTTTTGTGTGTCTGTGTGTGTGCCTTGTGTGTGTCTGGGTGTGTGCCTTGTGTATGTGTCTGTGTGTGTGCCTGTGTGTGTCTGTGTGTGTGCCTTGTGTGTGTCTGTGTGTGTGTCTCACAGCTGGGGGAGTGGCTGGGGAGAGGGTGGCTACGTGCTCATGGCTCGAGATTTCAACAACCTCTGTGGAATTGCCTCTGCGGCCAGCTACCCCCTGGTGTAACAACAACCGGCGGCGATGTGACGACAACTCAGCCAGAAAACGATTATAACTCTCATGATGCACGCATGGAGCCGTGTGTGACAGAGAGAGAGCCAGGGTCTATTCACAGTACGTGGAAAACCCTGCTGCTGTTGCTGAGACTCCATTGCACCAGAGTGCTGAACGGACACATTTAGATTCGTGATTCATTTCGTGACCCCCAAACTTAGGGCGCCAGGGTGGTAATGCAGTGATAACACCGGCGCCTCACCGCAAGAAGGGCCCGGGTTCGATTCCTGACTCGGGCACTTTTCTGCGTGGAGTTTGTATGTTCTTAATTACAAGCTTCGAAATGAGAGATAGAACTGAATTGCACGTCGGAGTTGGGTGGATAAAAGCCGGAAAGGCGATTTGTTGGGGCCACTCAGAGGGATAGGGATAGGAAAGGGGCTTTGAGACTAAAGTGAGTCCAGGGGTAGTGGGTGGGGGGGGTCCGCACAGACGACTACAAAAAAACCATTCGTTTAACATGCAGGAGGCTTTCGCGACCAACATGATCCATAATAGAGTTTTTTGTGGTTAGATCGCGTAAATAAATGTGTCGTTAAACCCGCCACCACCCGACACAGCCAACTAGTAAGGGTTGTCACATAAACAGAACGTGGCAATTCGTCACCAATGCAGCACTACACCGATGTGTTGGAGAGCCAAGCCACAACATTTACAATCTGAGTACGACGTTTCGCCAGTAATTACAACTAGCTTCATCAGGCGACAGCCAGAACACACCGGTGTGCTGTACTAGTGACGAATTGGCCACGGTTCTGTTTACGTGACAACCCTCACTAGTTGGCTGTGTCGGGTGGTGGCGGGTTTAACGACACATTTATATATTTACGCGATCTAACCCAAAAAACCTCTATTATGAATAGACACTCGGCTCACGCTGAGGAGATATAAGACAAGATAATGGAAGGGGGGGGGGAACTCATTGTAATAATTTGAATTTTGGCTTAGAATAAGTTATAAAAACAATGCCACTTTAAGTTGCATAATGATGTCTTTTAACAAGTAAATGTGAATTATTTACGTCGCCTCTGTTTATTTAAAGTAACTTTTTACCTTCTCCACGTGTTGAGAAAGTGTGAACATTGAATCGTTCGATTCAGACCACAAAGCGTGACAATAAAGAGAATATTTGTGACAGGGTCCAGGGTCGTGTTCACGCTACACAAACGCCGACGTGAAATTCCCCTTTCAGACACAAGTCATAAATTCCTTCACGCGTTACCGATTCAACGCGCCTCGGTTTCGCAAAAGTCTACAGACACGTTGATATAGTGACACCAGTGCCGGATAAAGCTAGTGCGGGGCATGTAGCATGATGCTATAAAGGGGCCCTAAATAAAAAAAAATAAAAAAATAAGTAAATATTACAACACTAATTTTTTACTGGCATAGTAAAGTAATTGTATTTTTTCATTTGCTATACAGCCAGATAATACGACAAATCGAAACCTTAAACACCCAGTCGTTCATAAAAGTTTGAGGCAGTATAGTACTATAGTAATAGAGCAAGTGCAGAATCGCTGAACCGGAATTGATAGCTTGAAAGCATTTAGCGCGGGGCCCCTTTAAAGTGTGGGGCCCGTAGCATTTGTAGCTACTTTTGCTACTCGGATAATCCGGCACTGGTTGACACAACTGGCATGTGATCAGCACTGCCTACATGCAATGGCCATCGCATAGCTGTCAACCTGTACGGTTTACCCGTATTCTTGTACAGGGACGTTGAGTAAAACATTTCTTGTATATTTGTTTGCGTTTCTCTCTTTATAGGATGAATGTTTCGGACAATCGCCCTTCTGCATAGCACATGTGGTAATCGAAGGGCCATCACCCGAAAAGTCGCCTATTATATATTGTTCCTTTGAAGGCAGTGTTGTTGATGAATATGTTGAGTTTGTTGTTGTTGTTATTTGTGCTTGTGCGCCACTGTCAACGCAGCAGCAACAGCAGAAGCAATTTGTGTAAATCACAGCGGTACATTGATGCCTGCAGGCGGGCGGCCATCTTGGAAAATGTGAGTTTTACTCAACTTACACAAAACACAAGCAAGACAATTTTCAAGAGGACTAGTTGAGTTATTGTTTTAACTCACGATGTCAGTTGCATACCTGTCAACCCATACTGGTTATCCGTATTCTTGTACAGGAAAATTGAGTAACGAAAATTTGTTTATATTTTTTTGTGTTTCTGCCTTGTGATGGGACTTGATGAACGTTGAGATTTACAGTGCCTGCCTTATTGCAGACCAATTCAAACCTTATTGGTCACCCCGTGCTCCTTATAGATCTCAACGTTCATCCTACAAAGTCCCATCACATGGAAGAAACACAAAAAAAATGAAAATGCTTTTGTTACTCAATGTCCCTGTACAAGAATACGGGTAACCCGTATGGGTTGAGGGGTATGCGACTGACATCGTGAGTTGAAAACAATAACTCAACTAGTCCTCGTGAAAATTGTCTTGCTTGTGTTTTGTGTAAGTTGAGTAAAACTCACATATTCCAAGATGGAATGTATGACCGCCTGCAGGCATTAATGTACCGCTGTGATTTACACAAATTGCTGCTGCTGTTGCTGCTGCGTTTACATTACAACTAGCATAAGTACCCGGCGTTGCCCGGGTGAAAAATATATTTCTTAATAACCATACATATATACACAGATGGGTTGCTACCCCTGCCCCCCCCCCACCCAGCCACGATCTCCTCGGCCGCTGTGCAGTAGTATGTACGGCCTATAGTGTGGTGGGGTGTCGAGGCCTAGTACCGTGCAGAGCCTCCGGCCTCGCCTAGATTGCCCACCCGACTGAGGCTGGGTACTGGGGGCGTTACCCCCCCCCCCCCCCCCGCTACAATAATACTGTCTAATCGAGCCACGATCTCCTCGGCCGCTGTGCAGTAATATGTACGGCCTATAGTGTGGTGGGGTGTCGAGGCCTAGTACCGTGCAGAGCCTCCGGCCTCGCCTAAATTGCCCACCCGGCTGAGGCTGGGTACCGGGGCCGTTACCCCCCCCCCCCCCCCGCGCTACAAAAATACTGTTTAATCGCTATAATTGTATTATCTACCGACCCTATAATAGTAATTGCACACATTGGGGTGGGGGGGGGGGGGGGTGAAGAGGACGTGAAACTTTGATGAATTTACCTCAGAGTCGCGTGTTAATGCGTGCGCATATTTTTAACGGGAATTAAAAATGGCGTCCATCCCGCAGCAAATGCGTCGCTACCCGTTGCCAGGGGCAACCGCCGTCCAATGAAACTGCGTATGGTCCGGCGACACACAGACAGACCGACAGACAGACAGATTTGCGATTTTATATATATAGATGGCACACAAGCACAAAGAACAACAACAACAAACTCAACATATTCATCATAATAGGTGACGTTTCGGGTGATGGCCCTTCGATGACCACGTGTGCTATGCATAAGGGCGATTGTCCGAAACGTTGCCTATTTTATATATTTGTTTTCCTTTTAAGGAAGCAGCAGGGTTATTGACGAACGTATTGAGTTGTGTTCGTGATGTAAACATTGTTTAAAGGGTAGCTCTCTGATTGTTGATGTCAATTATTAGATGGTGTAAGTCGCGTGCAGCTTATCTCTCTCCCATTCACTGCGTTCTAAATGTTTTTATTGATTTATTGAAACAGCCTTGAAGGCATATACAGTAAATCTGTGTTGCCCTGTGGGGTTTCCAACGAAAATGTAAAGGAACAAAGCACTTACTGGAACATACTCTTAGTTTTTTCGGTAAAGTCACGTAGGTAAAAAATGAAATAAAAATTAATAAAAATAAAAGAATAAAAATCACTACGTTTCGGAGGCAACACAAGCTTCCGTCTTGTGTTCTTTTATTTTTATTAATTTTTAATTGCATTTTTTACCTACGTGACTTTACCGAAAAAACTAAGAGCATGATTCCTTGCAGTCACGAAAGCTTAAAATCTAGAACTTACTGGAACAAATAAATGACTTGGACATCTGGTCCAGAACCTGGAATACACACGCGCACACAAAACAAAGATAAATACCCTCATATATAGCATTATACTACTGGAAAAAAATGCTGTTAGTCAGCATCTGTCATGGTTTTTACAAACTACAGCAGCTACTCGTTTCGGGCCGAGACTCGTCCAAGCATCACTCGCCCACTGGGGCTCGCCCTGGTCGGGACTCAAACTCACGTCGCAAGGTTGGATAGCAACAGTGCGCTAACAGCCGCTCAACACCCATAGCTTCCCACGACAAAGCAGACACACACGTGCGCGTACACGAGCACAGCCCAAATGTGGGTTCCTCTGATTCTTATTCTTAGTTTTTTTCGGTAAAGTCACGTAGGTAAAAACATTAAAAAGTAAAATAAAATAAAAATCACGACGTTTCGGAGGCAACACAAGCTTCCGTCTTCAGGTGGTACCGTCACAGCCACGACAGCTGTATCAAGTAAATGAGAGATTGCAGGAGCTACCACCTTCTCCAACCATTATATAAACGGAGTGGTAGCTCCTACAATCTCTCATTTACTTGATACAGCCGTCGTGGCTGTGACGGTACCACCTGAAGACGGAAGCTTGTGTTGCCTCCGAAACGTCGTGATTTTTATTTTATTACTTTTTAATGTTTTTACCTACGTGACTTTACCGAAAAAACCTAAGAATATGAATCATTGCAGTCACGAAAGCTTCAAATCTAGAATCCTCTGGTTCTATTGGTCAGTCAATAACAGATGCAAAGCGTCCGCATGCATTGCTACAATGTGATTGTGATGATCAGATAAGAGTCTTGCTCAAGAGCCTGGCTGTTTGGAAGAAGGAAACAACGTTACCCCCCGGTCCAGATAAACCGGTCTAAAAATGCAGTTCATACTTGCAAACAGCACGATCTTTTGTGGCTGCTGTGTACATACTCTTTTGTTCTTTCGATAAAGTCACATAGGTATAAAATGAAATATATTTAATCACGACGTTTCGATTGCAACACAAGCAATCATCATCAGGTGGGAAAACCACATCAAGAACATGTTTTGCTGAAGTGGGAGAGATAGTGTGTGCTGTGTACAGTTTTTATTTAATTTAAAGGTAACTCATTTGGAAAACAATATGAACAATTAATTTGCTAAAGCCTTGGTTATGCTGTTTTGGTGACGGATTTTTCTTTAGAAAATCATCACAATGGGTAATCAATGTCAATATAAATCCGCGTGTGTCACCCTCAGCCAGAGATCGCGTTGTCTTGCCACGCCTCGAGCCAATGGTTGGAAATTCCACGTTTCCCTTGGCAGGGGACAGTCCATCCATGGCATGACCATGAGGCAATTGATTCTTACGCACAGATACACAGCGTGGAACTTGTGCGTGTAATTATGTACT